GTAGCCAAGGTCATAATTATAAAATATATTGGGGGGGGGGGGGGCATTCAGATGTGCTCACAATGTCGTCGTCCCCCAGTATATATTATAATTACGGTTTTGGTCCCCCTCCGGTGTTGACTTCATATCTACGGTCTTGACTGTAGCTGAAAAACAAGAGAAGAAATTTTGATAAAGAGTTTTAATATAAGTATGATTAAGTAAGAATGTCTGCTCTTCTGTGGAGGATGATAGAGATCTGTAACTATATGCGATGATTCTCCCAGTTATGCACCAGCTGTGAGAATTACAATCCACATACACACAGGTTCGGGTCTTGATCTGAATAAGAGGGCTTGATTCAATTCAGCATTGCGGATAATCCAGGAAAGCTGCTAGAATCCATTCATCTTTCAATGGCATATCCAGTAATGTAATTCTTGTCCTTAAACGCAGTTTGGCTTTCTAATACTGGATGACTTCTCGCTCCAATAGTCACATGGGCAGGGAGAGCATGTGCCGCTGGCTTTACTCATTACATCTCTGGAGTTTCTCCCCAGGCAGTGCTGGAGAAGATGGTACCACCCCCTGGTTCAAGCCATTAGCGGCCGCCAGCTGTGTCCATGTGGTTTCCTTTCAACTACCCATAGCTACCATTAGCCTACCTAGTGCTGATTGTCCCTGTTGGTGTGCAGCGGATGTGTGCACAGTTCTTAAAAAGATAATGGCAAAAAATATACAAACCGTTTTGGAACTAACTTACACAAATGTACATGCCATGATAAAACTATTGTTTTAAATATTCATTAGACAATATCCCCATGAATCATGTTTTAATTAAGTGCAAGTTAAGTGCAAATTTAATTATCTAAAATATCTCATGTAGGCCAGTATTTTTAAAACTCCTCTTTATTAACATAATATTTTAAGAGTATCCATCGAATAACCAGAATTGAATATCTCTTGTTTTCACCCATAGTGGATCAACTACTTGCTTGTACAGCAATGAATAGTTCAGATAGTAAGATAATACAAGACAGTATAACATTTACCAAATGCTGTTCCATCCCATGCAGCACATTTTGCATTTGTTTTATTGAGGTGTTACTCCACTATAGCCAGTTAATTTAGTAACACAATAAAATGAAACAGGAATAACAAAGCAAAACAAATAATGCTATTAGCAATGAAATATATTTATTTACAAGCATTTGCAGTATTTTTGTCCTACGTCTAGACAAGTCAGCACAAGTTGGCCACTTTACGGCACAAGTTGCTTGTCCTCTCACCCCAAAAGCCTGACCTAAAGAAGAACAACTAATCAACAGTTAATCACCTGTATTTTTGTAGTTTTGACAGTTGATTATGCTCTGTGTTCAAATAAAACTTAAGAAACACTTAAGGAAAAGGTTTTCTTCAAGGACATTGGAACTGATTAGCTTAGAGCATTTTACTAATGGGTGTGTTAGTTAATGATTTTATAAAGTCTTTTGTTTTATTGATTAAATGCTCAACTATGCTTGTTTACATTGCAATTATAATATAAAGCTATTCTAAACAACACATAATTGTATTGACAAGTTTATCATCTGGACCTTCAATAGATCAATGTTTCTCCTTTAAAAACTGAGCTCATTTAAATCTAAAAGCTGCAACTGGGTTTTGACATAATCACATTTTTTTTAATTTACACTATTATTATTGGCAGATTAATACTACTCTTTGTGTGTCATTATATATATATATATCTGCTTTTTTACTGACAACATTATTTACGTACATTAAGTTTCAAACCATTTCGCTTAATATATTGGTTCTTTTATTGCTGTAACTCTGTGATTTCTCTTCATAAATTTTAAGCACATTAGAACTCTTTTCACATTGTCGAATCAACTTGATATAACTAAATAAATGCTAATAAGGTAAATAAAGGGTCACAAGAGCAACACACTCATCTTCTACTCCAAGCTTGTGGCCAGTTCTTCCAGGTTAATACCATGACACTCTGCTGGATCAGCGGTTATGAAAAATGGTTAAATGGAAAAGAAATAAATGCATGACATGACACCAGTATGTGTAAGATCATCTTGAAAATCTAGATCTGAAAATATAAAACTGAATCATACAACAAGAACATTTTTCCCTGTTACTTGTGAGTGTGGAGTCTTTGAAGGCTGGGCTAAGGTGTGGATTGTGGAGTTAGCAGCCCATCAGAGTGTGACATCACCACTAGCTTTCAAAGAGCCCAAACCCTTAACCTTCCCCACTGCAGATAAAACAAGCACTAAGCCTTTCTCTGTTGGTTGTTGTGAGAGGACGGTATAAAAGGGTTTGCCTGTGACCACAAGCAGACATTTAAGAAAACACCAGCATTAGAGAAAGACCAAGATACTTGCTGTCTATCACAGATACAGTCGGCCTTCTCAATTCATCCCAACAGCATGTGGAAAGAATCAAACCATGGTAAGAAATCATCATGAATATTATTATAATCAAATAATAATTGTGTTTCAATGCCTGTTACATATGTATAAAACAATAAAAATAATTAAAAGAATGAAAATGATATAATTAATATGATATAATAACATAGAAAAGGTTCTCTGGGCCCTGTAACAGACCACACTTTGACACCTCTTTCTGTTTTATGTTTCAGGCATGTTCAACCAAACAGTTCCTACCACCCAGTCCCGAGCCGCCAGCCGCAGGAAGCGGACAAGCTTCTCCCAGGAGCACGTGGAGCTGCTGCGCGCCACGTTTGAGACGAATCCGTATCCTGGCATTAGCCTGCGAGAGAGTCTGTCCCAGGCGACAGGCCTACCTGAGTCACGCATCCAGGTTTGTACCTTCTGCACTACACTGACAAACACAAAAAGTCTGTAGCACTTGAAAACACAGACAGACAGACACAGACACACACACACACCCACATACACACACACACACGCACGTGCTAAATATTCGAGTAAATTGCTTCAGCATCTATGATACCATAATAAATATTCGAGTAAACTGCTTCATTAAGTAAAAGAAAACGCTCCAACAAGACAGGAATAAGATTATAATTGCATAGAGACTCTTATGAATGAATGGTCGATAGTGTACCAGGTTTTGTTAAACCATGGTATCAAGATGATATGAGCGTCCATAACTTATCTGCTATTTTCTCAGGACTGTGGACAGGCTCTACAAAACTGAACAGTAGCAACAATACAAGATACTAGATAATAAATTAGCTGAGGAGACTCTGATTGTAATCTATGTGACTGTTGTAATATGTTTGGATAATCATTAATGAAAGCATTTGAAGTATTATAATTACAGTTGGTTGTATGTGAATATATATTATTCAGTTATTCATTTTATTATTCTTTTCCAGGTGTGGTTCCAGAATAGGAGAGCCAGAACTTTAAAGTACAAGGGCACAAGGAAACAAGGCCAAGCCATTTACTCAAACCACCAGGCAGTGGAAGAGAATGTACAATCTGCCTCACTCACAGTACAGGACTCACTGAATCTAAAGCATCCTTCTCTACAGCCAGTGATCCACACTCAGATAAAGGAAGAGTGGAATGATGATTCTTTTTTCAATCACCAGCATTCACTGGAATATTCTAGCTACTTCTATGGACACACAGAGGGCACATTGAAAGATACCAGTGCTAGTCTTTTCCCAATGAGCCAACAGTACCTAATGGCAAGTCTACAATATCCTAACACTCTGTGGGACTCTGCAGCATTACAACACCTACAAAACTACAACTCCCATGGTACCATCCTCTGCCCAACTCAGGCTGACAAACATTCCCTTTTTGACCACTATGATTCCCAGTCAGAAGCCCCTGCAACACCAGACTCTGGGTGCTGTGATGTAGGTAAGGATAGCATCACTGATTCCACTTATTGTTTGCAGTACAATGAGCCCTGGGAGACTGCTACGTTTGACTGCCTGGTATCTGCTGTGCCCAGTTCTTCAGAACCTTTGAATCAGGCACCACTTCCTGATCTGTCAGGCCAAGTTCTGGAAGACATCCTGGCGGAGCTGCAGCCAGAGCCTACTGGACTGACAAGAAATACCATGGAAAATGCCTTGATCTATTGTTGAAATGCTGCCATTTTTACTCTTAGGTGGACTGATGACTGTTTTCAGGCTTATCAAAGCTCATGAAAGGAAAAATTAATTTTAATAGTGAATAGGGGAGGTAGTTTAATTATGTGGATTATTTGTTGGAAAAAGAATGAGTATCGGGTTTTGTGCATAAAAGTGTTGTTGTGTAAATGGACAATACTGGGAATATATAAATATATATGTAATAAAATATTTTGATATTGTATTGAAACTATCATTACTTAGTAATTGATTTATTTTGTGAAATAGTTGTGAAATAGGGCCTTTGGCCAAGGTTGCTTCAAAACACCTCTTAAAAGCAGTAATGGGGTCAGTTCTGCAAAGCAAATGAAATACCTTGTTACATCGCAACTAAACCATAGGTATCTGTGGAATAAATTTAATGGAAAAGCCGATTCTTAAGAATCAGGGTTTGACATTGTGGCAGAATACTGTACAACTGCAACTGTAAACGAACAAATAATTTTGTCATTGCTAGTATGCAATGCATGAAACATACTTTTACATTTGAAGCACGAGCAATTAATATTTTCAGTTTAATTAATCCCAATTAAAGTTATATTTACTTGGACAAACAGTATGTAAACGGATCCGAATTCGGCCGAGCGTTGGACATGGGGCACACCCCTAGGTGGAGATCTAATTGCGTCAAAGCTGATTTTTGAGTAATACCGAAACTAAAGATATCTGGAAAAAAAGAACTCGTGTAACCAGTGTATGTGGCGGAAGAGCGCAAGTAAGTGTGTAAATTTTCAAATAAAAACACACTTTACCAGACCACTGATGCGGAATATTCATATTAAAGTTCTGAGTTTGGTTTTGGTTAGAATTGATTTACTATGTCGCACTGTCCGTGTGTGCAGGGTAGTGTTGTGCAGCAAGTCGCTTTAACAAAGATGTCGTATAGAAAGAATCACTGTTTCCACTCTACAACAGTCTTTACCCTTAATAGACTTGGCATTACTTATGAAATTCTTTGTTTACATGCAAAGAAATACCGTTTAATGTTTACAGTCGCTAGCTAGCTAACTGCTCTAAGTCAGAACTTTTGATTGTCCGGAAATCAATACTACAGTCCCAGTATAGATATTTTCTGGAAAACTATTCAAGTATGAGATTAAATCATATTTATACTTAACCAGAAGCAAAGAATTTGCAAAAGAAGAAGTATATTTACATTTTAAAAAGGCCGACACTAACTAGCTAACGCGCTAGCTTTCGCAACGTGTTTATCTATTGGAAACTGAACAGTTAAGTAAAATGTCTCACTGCCTACTCATTTGTAACTTCTTAGTTCATTAGCTAGATACAAGTATCTAATGCTGCATGAAACTGCTTTGATGAAAATAATAATAATAAAACTTACGTTAAAGCTGAAATATAGAATAAAGTTTTTAAAGCGTCTCGTCCTGGCAGAATTCCTTTGGAAGTGTAAAGGGTAAAACAATGCTTTAAACGCAAACACATGCTTAGTTAAAAAATAAAAATGTTGGCCTCTAATTTTCTAGATTCCTGCATGTAGTGCTTTTTAAAAAATGATTAAATCTTCGGTCAAATAACACTCCAACAATTGTATTTTCCCCAAATTTCTTTCCGTTATTGTTCATTTATTCCCTGTATTATCCCTGCAAGCGCAAATTTATATTTCAGTAATGTCTGTGAAAGGGTGTAAATGGAGTCAGATGACACATGAGCATTTAGGTGTAGGTTTGAGTTACTTTGCCTTATAAAAATGCCAAAACTTTGTGTATGTTGTTTTCCACAATAGAGCTCTGATGAAATGGTGTATGCCTGATAATTTCCGAAGAAATCTAGACTCAAGGTAGGTTTGTGCCTCCATCCAGTCTGGGAGAAAGGGGGGCGGGGGGTGTTAGGTGGAATAACTCGAAGTCACGATTGTCCAATAAGAGTTTCAGTAAGGAGCATTCCTATTTGACAGTCATGACTTCTAGCTTAAGTTAACCTAGCTAACTGAGAAACCCTGATTTGTAGAACACAACCCAGGATTTGTTGCCTGTAGTACAAGTTAGGAGTCAAGACTGTGAAATAGGAATGCTCCTTAGCTAAACTCTTATTGGACAATAGTGACTCTAGTTTTTCCAGATATCTGAGAAATCCTGCTTTGTGGAATGCCCCCCGGGTATTATGTAAATGGACTAAACTGAATAGTGATGCTGTTCTACCGAATGAGGGGAATTACGGCTCTTTTTAATGAGCTGGATCATTTGACTCAGCTCAACGATAAGAGCCAGCTTTTTTTTTGCTCCCAAAAGGCTCTTAATTTAGTACCAATTCTGGCTTCTATAATTCAGCCAAATTTAGCCATGTTTTGACCTATGATTGGTATGTGTGCACGTATATCACTTAAATTATTCAATGTAACCGCATAAGTTTAAAAATACCATTATTTTACATTATGGTTGGCATAAAAACATTAAACACTATTATCCATGTGTATTGAATGTTGTGTATTAGCATTTTGCTACAAACACTAAATGCTGCACATCTGGTGCAGTACAGTTTTGATATGCCAGTGAAGGTTGTTAGTAGACCCTAGTCGAAATGGTAGTTTTATCTTACAAATTCCACATTCTGCCTTTCTGCTGTCTGTTCAAACGCATCCAAAAGTTACTTATTTCAGGTACTGGTGTTGTTTTTTTCTTTGTATTGCATCATAGTCCTGGAGGAACAATATTTTGTTTGTCTGTGAACCGTGTATATGGCTGAACTGACAATAAACCTACTTGACTTATGGTGGGTTTGGGAATATCACTCATCTTGTTTTCCGCTGTTCATGTACTGCTCTCATCTCTGTGCTCTGTGGACCACCCATTCCCAACTTGATGGTATGATCTGTCATTTCACGTGATTAATGGCTTGCCACTCACATTAACGCAGCATTCAGTTAACGCATTAGGGTTGGTTCAGTACCAAAATTTTAGGGTTCAGTATGGTACCTGGCATGGTAGATTGATAACGGTACCAGTTCGGTACCAATGCAATAAATATATAAATATTCACACAAACTGATCAAATTAATAAACATCGAAAGTTTTATGGTGAAAAAGTACAAGTATTCATCAATCAGGCTTTTGAAAATGAACAATGGATTAAATTCAAAACTTAATGTGATAGGTTTAAACCCAAACCCACTTTTGGGTACACCTCCCTGGTACTCTTGCTTGATGAATATGTGGATTTACGCTGAAATATTCCAGAAAGTGGGTCAGAGTTTAAACCTTAACTATGACACCACGGTAAAGTTAGCTTTATATTCGGTATTCTGGCTGTAATGTCTTTCAACAAAAGCATCTGGTTTTCCAGATTTCTTTATGGCCGAATTTTCACTATCAGTGGCCCAGCTGTCTAGCTTAAAGTAACTGGCGGTGAACGGACACCATGCAATGATTAATGAATACATATAAAAACACAATATGAAAGTTATATGAAGAGCATTGTCCCCCATAGTTTAATGCTTAAAGCACACTTCACTATAACGTTAACTCTGTCTTTTATATTTTAAACAGACACAGTACAGTTATTATTAATAATGCAAAATATTGCAAGGGAACGCAAAACTATTTAAAAAAATTATTTTCCCACCCTGACCTCTTAGGAGCTCCATGCAACAAAAATAATAAAAAATCCCGGATACTTCTCACAGTTTTATAAATGCTGGCCAGGCACAATTTTTGGTCACCCTAACCATACAAAAGATTGTCATTTAGACAATCTTATTTTCAGCATATATATCTGATAATCATGCATACCTTCCATTCCTGTAGTTCCCTGTATGAATACACTGTCACTATCTCCATGTTTCATTTCAGCAACCTTGTTTTTCCACAAGTTTCGGAACTGTTTGGGCTGATGCCGAAGCCATGATATTTTTTCTTTATATTATCTTCACACTGTTTTTTTAGAGCTCTTTCAGTGCTAAGAGTGACTTGGGTGTGACTTAAATCACACCCATGAGCCGCCGGTTTAGTGTTGATGGGTGGGTACGGGAGTGAACTCTTAAAGGTACATTTCAGAATACAGTGAAAAAAGCAGTAAGAAAACGCTAAGTACTGAAATTAGCAAAATGATGATGCCATAGCGTTTTAAAAATAATGGTAAATTACCGATAACTGGAGCAAACCTGAAGTGCATGAAGTACCCATTGCCATGCAGTATAGCAAAAAGATCACCCTATTATTTTGTCTTGTTTGTTTTATGTGTCTGCAAGTGTCTCTTGCACTCATGCAATAATGAATAAGATAAGAAAAACACTGGAGCCATGGTGTTTATGGTAGCTGGAGGAAATCCTGCTCTCCTAAGAAATCTTTGTTACCTTTCGTAATTTTTCCTAAAGTTGCCTTGATGTTTCACAATAATACTGTGGACAGATATGAGAAAAGTTGAGCAAAAGTTGAACAATGCACGGCATTATTTTGGAGGAAACCAAACATCAAAGGAGCAATGCATTCCAAATCTATCAGGATGTAGTACAGGAGAAGATATGTTGTGTGTCTGTGAGCCTGACAAATGACAACAAAATAAAGAGAAAGTATCTTTTGGAATGGCAAATAGTTTGTCCCTTCTGAGGTATGATCTGAAGCAAACCGTAAAAGAGAATCCAGAGTTATCAACAAACCTAAAACCATTTATGTGCTCCTTGTAAGGAGATTGATGCTTCCATATTTTCTGACTTTGCACGTATATTCACGTATAATGTTGTGTCTCTTCACAGCGAAACGGTGGAAGATGCACTATTACAGATATGAGAATGCAGAAGTCAGCTGTTGCTACAAATACTTATTGTTCAGCTATAACATTATCTTCTGGGTAAGTTTTGGGTTTATGTCTTAAGGTTATAATTTAATATTTGTTTTCATATAAAATTTCAGTTTTTTTGGGGTGATCTGTGGCTCAGGTCTGAATCCCATGGCTGGCAAAGTCCGGTTTCCAGGTTAGCTTCTATTGGAAGCACTTCTCTTACCAGCTTTCTCAGTTGGTCGCACCAGAACAAGATTTGGTCGTACCCTTCTTTTTTGTGCAGCATGGTATTAATCAATGACCTTGCCTGCCGATATATAGTTGTCCTAATTTGCAAACCCTGGTTTTTGTATTGATGCAAGACTGACAGTGACTCGAGATTTGATACAGTAACCCCTTCACATTAATGAGGGTTAGGGATGGCAGATCCCTGCGAATGTGACAGTTTGTGAAAAGCAACTTTATGATAAATAAAGGCTCCCCTCACCAATACCCATAACAGCCTGCTAGCCTGAACAATAACATAAAAGTCTGTTTATTACCAATTTCCGAACAAACAGTACTGGTCACTTTCCACGTCATATGACTGTCATTTTCTATCAAGACATTTTTATATAATATATAAACCATCTGAAATATGCCTCTGTGTGTACAAAGTTACTATTGTACTCACTGGAAGCACTATATTTTGGACTCATTTTTAAAAATGTAAAATTAACAACAATGGAAAGTTTCAAAGTTGCTGAGAGAAATGCGAGATTCTGCGGTAAGGCTGGTTACCGCGACAAAGCCAGGACTTTTAGTATGAACTTAAACAAATATTATGTATTAATAATATTTATATATTATATGCAACCCAGATCATTTTCAGTATTGCTTTTGGCTTGTGCAACGCCTGAGATTCTGTGATATCTGACTGAAACCAAAAATGTCAAATGCGCAGAAGAGAAGGGGGTAAAGTACTGTTCTTGCAAAATTTTTTAATCTGAACATTAGCTTTAATAACCTTACTCTTGTTGTCACTTGTGTCTGTCTCGGGCCTCTCTCTGGCTATACTTCTCCACCAGCCTCCTCTCTTTTTGTTTTTTTTCCCCCATAATCAGCTATAGACTGTGCTTCCATTTTTAACAGCACAGCTTCGTTTTCACATCACGGTTTCATGCATTTTACCATCAGTTTGCATATATGTACGAATTCCTGGGTGCAGGCAAGGAGAGACCAATTTAACAAAAAAAAAGACATAATGATAGGGCTGTCAAGTTTTGAAGACAGGCAAGAGTGACATTCCACAGGATGCCTTTTCATTGGTTGTTGTGTTGTATTTTACTCAGATACAATAGTACTGTTTTCTGATTGGCTATTGTGTAGGCCCTTTCTTTTTTTTGATTGGCTGGTAAGTGACAGGCTCTTGGGGCTCTAATGGTGCGTTCGTTCTTTTTTTTTATTATTTATTGCTTTTTTAACAGTATACAAACAATGTAAAACACATAACAAATACAAATTGCATTTTAAAGAAAAAGGGGTCCATATTCTTTCTCATTTACAAAAGATTCTTCAGGGCCTTATATAAACTGATAGTTTTTACAGCTTTTCGGTTTTTTTTAAGTCCATCCAACGTTAAAATAAAATTTCAATTCCAACTTAAACTGGCATATATTAGGCTTCTTGTGCGTTCGTTCTCTCCAAGTCGGAACTCGGATGAAAACGTCACGAAACGTCACTTCCCGTCGTAAACACGCCTCTTTTATGACGTTGATGTCAGACAAGATTTTTAGTTGTCCGAGTTGCCCCTGTGACGTAATTTCAACATAGCGGCTTACACACTCAACAGTAATTCTATTTTATAAATCTTTAAAAATGTTTATTTTGTTAAATGTATTAATAGTTACAAATGTAATTGCACGTATTCGATTTAGAGAATACCATATCATGACCGTAAACAGTATCCTAGCATGCAATATCAGATTTTTACCACACTTGTTAGTGTCTTTGGTTTGTTTGTAGTTTGTTTACCAATCGAAAAAAGAATATCGCTATGAATGTACTAAAATATTTTATAAAGCTTTTAATGTGGTTTGACTAGTTCGTATTTCTTGTTTGTTTGTCTCTCGGAAAAAAAAAATCTCACTCCAAATCTGCTAAAATATAAAGCAACAACACACAGCAGCGTGTTCAAGGAGGCAGCCATGTTTGTTCCGAGATGTGGTAGCTCGAACGGGGGATTGTCGGACGTAATGTCACTCAACCCAGAATTTCCGAGTTCCGAGAGAAAAACGGAACGCACCATTAGACTCCAGCGGAGACACGCTTGTTTTATAGTGAGGCGCTACTGTGCCGCGGTCTGCGGAAAAATTGGGCTCTGCGGCATATTAGCCTACAAATAATTTTTCCGCGTGAGAAATACAATGTGTGGCGGGAGTGCGTGACAAAAGACTGAAAAGAGTGACTGTCACTCTCAATGCGTGACACTTGAGAGCCCTGTAATGAACCAGGGAAGAAAGAAGAAAACTTTCAATCACAATTTGCTAACGCGGTACCCTTGTAGGAGTAAAACATCCTAATGATTATCATGCACTGGCAAAGAGGAGACCAGGTGAAATTTTAAATTGCACACTCTCCATAAAAGGTTGCGTATGTGATCATTAAGTAAGTTCACAATTCAGCTCTTGAGCAAGACCCTTACCTGTAATTGCTCTAGCTAATGGCTGATCCTGCCCTTTGTCACCAGCTTGTGTGCTTTGGATAAAAGTGTGTGCCAAATCATTCAATCAATTAAGAAACAAACAATAAATAACATATAGTCCATAATTATTTCCATGTGCCAGATGGAATTGTCTAAAAATACTAATTAGGGGTGTGTGACTTGATGATCTTAGATCGTGAATGATTATATCCACGAGCCGCCTTTTTGGAGAGATCATTAGTATTGTGCTACAGGGCAAATTCAGTCAGTTGCGGTTCTGTTCATACATGCATCTAAAGTTGTATTGTCAGCCAAAACTGTTTTGGCACACCAGCAATAGCAAGCAGTAGGTAGCCTACTGCCTCGCATTTCTTCCTCTCTCGTTTTCACTCATCCCAACATGCGATACACAACCAGTAGCATGGACAACGTGAAAGAGTTAGATTTAGAATTTAGTGATTAATTGTCATTGTTGACACACCACAACGAAATGTGTTCTCTGCATTTAACCAATATGTGACAATGTGACATAGCAGGGGGCAGCTAATTCAGCGCCCGGGGAGCAGTGCTTGGGGGTGGTACCTTGCCGGTCGGGGATTCAAACTTGAAATCTTTCAATTACAAGTGTGCTTCCCTGACCAATAAGCCACCACTGAGTTCCTAAGTGGAATTCGCAGACCTGCATTTCATAGGAGCCTCATGCAGTTGGAATTGCAAAAAACAGCAGCATATATTTATGCTAAATGTTTAAATGTTAAATGTTTTGCTGACATTTAATTAAAAGAATTAACCCATTTCTATAGAAATGCAAATAAAGTTTTATGATGCCCTTTGACATATTCTTTATCTCTTTACAGTTGGCTGGAGCAGCGTTTATTGCTATTGGCTTCTGGGCTTGGAGTGAAAAGGTACAATTGAGAAAATTTGATGTATTATTTTTTGTTAAATTTTTAAATATATAGTTTGCTGCCGATTTTCTTTTTCTTTTAAACGTTTTTAACGCTTCATCATGGGTTGGTGTAAATCTGGGTCAGATGAATAGATTAGATTTTTAGATTTTTTTATATAACAGTTTGAATGATTACATCGCTATGGCTCTGTTGTATTCTTCGTGCTGTCAGTTTTGTTCCACTGTCAAAATACTAATTGCAAGCTACCTTTTACATAACTGCATGACGGAACTGATACAGATGTGAGTACCTTGTAATAGCATCACGTCCAGGAAGTAACCATCATTGCATCCAGCATATCATTTATGCTGGATAAACACTTCCTGCAAATATCTGAATGGGTGGATTCACATTCATATTGACATAATATGACTGTATTAACCATATGGCTCCAGAATCTGTATAAGCCAGTGTTTGTGAAAAGGGGGAGTATATCACACAGACCTCACTATTCATTCCGGTGCGTTAAAGAATTAGTCCTGATTGTAAACATGGCACATGAAGTCTGCCTTTGTTTATTTAAAAAAAATAAATAAGTTCTGCCTTCTGTCTCTCTTTAATTTGGAGTTTAAGGTTAAAACTGATGATGACGGTTTGTGGTATAGCGATGTGTTGTATTTGCTAGTTACTCCGAACTAACAAAGCACTTTTCACTTTTAGTTTTGAATATTCTGAAATTCTGAAGATGAATACATAGAGTGATTGCTATTAACTCTTGGAAAAGACAAAACTGGGACTTGACCCATAAACAAATGAGGACAACTTTACACGACATGCAACATTTAACGCTTGCTTGTTTTCCATATCAGGGGTGGGGAGTCTTATCTTGCAAAGAGTCAGTGTGTGTGCTGCTTTTTGGGATAACCTTTAGGTCAGCTGTTCAAACCCAGGTGTGAGAACTGTTCAGATCATCAGTTGTGTAATTAGTGATATAATTAAGGAGTTGCACCGAAGACCCATACACAAAATTGCCCTTTCTGGATAAGATTACCTACCCCTGTTCTGTATGATGACAGAAATATTTTTATGGCAGGAATTTTTAAAAAGGAACTGAACAACAGGCTGGCTAATTTGCATATAGCACTTCATTTTGATGTGTGGTTTCACTATTCGTACTGTGAAGTGTGGTTTTGTTTTATTTATAGATATTTCCTAGAATAAGCGACTTTTTTCATGCTGAATTGTGCACCGTGCTTTTTCTGTGATATATATCACCATGCTTTATCTGTGATATATATCTCTGTGATATATGTGAATATATCTTTTCATATCCTTATTATAAAGAAACATGTGACGTATATGAATGGTACTGAATTATGTTACCACGTGTCTGATTTCCACCAGGGAGTGCTACTGGACCTCACCCAAGTGACACGGTCACATGGATTTGACCCAGTGTGGTTGGTGCTGGTAGTGGGAGGTGTCACCTTTATCCTAGGATTTGCTGGGTGTGTAGGGGCACTACGTGAGAACATCTGCCTTCTGAAGTTTGTGAGTTCTGACTCCTCTTTTCTGCACTCCCTTGGATTTTGATGCAGGCCTTCTCATTTTCCTCATTTCAGAAGGTCTTCCTGTTGTTAGCATGGAATTGACACGGGAAATGGATCTCCAGTGATTTCCTAGTTAGTGTGAATTATTCAGAATCACTCATATAGCTCATATAGCTTATCTTCTTTGTCAGGGAAACATACTTTTGAATGCTGGCCATTGAAAATGATTTTTAAAAAGCTAATGTGTTGCTGTACACAGCGAAGTGATTGCTGCCTCTGTACTTAAAATTTGTTGATAAGCTATAACTTACAGGTTTCATGTCTTTTTCCATTAATATTTGCTGTGGTTGTCTAATTTAATTGTAATTATAATTGTATTTTAAGTGTACGTAAACAACAATTGTTATCATCTGTTACTAAGTATGTGGGTTTCTTGTAGTTCCATCCATCCCTCTTAGAATCAGAATCTGTTTCTGTAATAATATCAGAATTTTTTAGCAGGAGAGCTTTCATTTGTCTTTCAGTTTACTGTAGTCATCGGTTTCATCTTTTTACTGGAATTGACGGCAGCTGTGCTAGCCTTCGTTTTCAAGGATCCCTTAAAGAAATGGATTAATGATTTCTTCCTGACCAATGTGAAGGCCTACCGGGATGACATTGACCTTCAGAACCTCATTGATTCATTACAAAGATTGGTGAGCCCTTCATGTTTTTTTTTTCTCTGCTTTTAAGCTATAGAAAGAGGCACAACCTACCCCAAGTAATATTTCATAGGCAGGCTTGATTTAAGGACTATTTGAGGACTATTACAATCCATGGCTAGAACCACCAGAGCACACAATTTCTTTTAACATTGTTTGAAAAAGAGCCCTTAAGCATCACACTTTGATTACTTGATAGGATATTGTCAAAATCAGATATGTTTGCTCAAAAACACATGTTATGATGAGATTTTGTTAATTTGAATTAACATATATTAATCTCCAGAAACATGTGGTTAGGTGAATTGTTGACTCCCATTTCCCATAGTGTGTAGTTAATATGAGTCTCTGCTCTGCAGTGGACTGGCACCCCATGCCAGGTGTCCTGTGCTTCCAGGCTTAGACTCCCAGTTCACTGTTACCCTGTACTGGATAAGTCATATGGATGCATGGAGATAATTTTTATTTGTTTACATTTTTGAAGCAGCTGCAAACATATTCTACTTACTAGCTGCAAATTGGTATTGAAATTAAAATTCATAATGGAGGATGCAAATATTATGTTTTATTTTTCCAGGATTTTTCGCCTTGGAGAAATATGTATAACTCAGAAAGGTCAACTTGTGATTCCTTTTTGAGTTTGATATAAGTTTGATTTTTTTTTTTCTTGCAATCAGCATTTTATCGTGGAATTTGTTGGAGACTAGAGAGTATTTCGGAATATGGACTTGTAGTGCCATGAGGGGCCCAGTGACACTGAATCCTGTATCCTGAATAAAATTCAGTTGTGTAAATGTATAAAACTTTAAGTTGTATTGAATGCAAGTAGCAGCTAAGCATCAAAACGTAACTTCACAAAATACAGCACAATTAATGAAATGATCTCTAATCACAGAACCAGTGTTGTGGTGCCAAAAACCCAAATGACTGGGATGAGAATATGTACTTCAATTGTACACCTGAGAACCTCAGCAGGGAGCGTTGCGGAGTTCCGTTCTCCTGCTGTATCACTGGCCCCCGTAAGGTCCGTACAAAAACTTGTCTAATTTCACTGTATCATGTTATCTCATTAGTCTAGACAAGAGTACCCATGTTGTTAGTCTCATGTCTGTCTGTGTATGTAACCTAGTTATGAGTATTGACATGCTATATCTATGTAATAACCCTACAATATCAGTATACTTAAAATTTCATCATTTTTAAAATCATGTTCTATAATTCTCTGTTTCACTTTCTACTCAGGACTCTGTTGTGAATACCCAGTGTGGCTATGACACCAGAGCACCACCGGTAAAGCCTAATAAAATCTTACAACAATCTTTGAACAATTTTATCTTTCACTACTCTGATATACTGTGCATTAAAATAATTCCTCCTTTACTGAATATGAAATTTATAGTTTGTAACCTCAAATATAAAATGAGTTCCTTTATGATCATGGACTGACATAGAAAAGACATTTGATGTTAAGCAATACATAACTGATGGCTTAAAACTATATTTTATGTTAAATGGGGGGGGGGGGGGGGTAGTCCCCCTCAGATTTAATGGCGGCGACGCCCAAGAGTAAACACGTAGAACACTCTTCACGACATTGTTTCTTTTAACATAATGTTTCTATTTTTCTTGAAGATGTTTTTGAATTTGTTTATAAATTATGTGCCTTAAATTGTCATCATATTTTTTATTTCCTCGAACAAGAAGTTACAAGTAAATTACATCCTCGTTATTCTTTTTAAAAAAGAATATTTTTTAATTTTTTTAATTCTCAAAACATTACTATTAATGGATTCACAGAAAAGCTAAAATCCATATCTGACTGAACCTCCCCCACCCCACGGCCTAAACCAGGGGTGGCCAATCTTATCTGCAAAGGGCCGGTGTGTATGCAGGTTTTCGCTGCAACTCCCTAATTAGGTCACTAATTAGAGGACTGATTGGCTGAAGAGTCTGCACACCTGGGTTTGAACAGCTGACCTACAGGTTATCCCAAAAACCTGCATACATACTGGCCCTTTGCGGATAAGATTGCCCACCCATGGCCTAAACAAAGGTTAAGGCTGTCTTCAGGTAAATGAGAGGAACAGCACTGCGGTGTGGTCTTTGTCAGATTTGCCAAATGAAGTTAAAGCTTTATTTTTGCCCTTTCATTATTTGGTATAGTAGTATTTTGCATATTGTTTTAAAAGTGATGTGAATACTTTTTAATTATATAATATAAACTAATATTGTTTATAAAAAATAACCTGTCTGTAAGCTTAAATTGCCTTCCATGGGGCAGAAGGGCAAAAGTTCCCTGGATCTTGATTTCCAGTATGAATACAGACTGAAATCGGAGTCTCACATTGTTTCTGTTTTTAAGCATGAAGTGTGAGGGGAAAAAAAAGGTTGCCATAAAAATAGATTACTTGCGGTAGCCAAATATAACATACAAACATAGCAGTGCTGTTTATTTGGCACTGTGGCTCAGTGGATATACTGTAATCTTAAATTGTTTTGTTAAACCCATTTTGTCTGTTATTGCTTAACCCAACAAGACCAAAAGTTCAGTTTCAGATTCTCATATTGCTGGTTATTGGAAAATATGTCACCAAAACTGCATAATTGAACATCGTGAATTGTTTTGGGGACTGAATAAAACACAGCAATGAACAGTGTCTCCCAGTTACCACCTTCCAATGAATTTACTGCGGTTTACAAAGTGAAGTTAACTACAGAGTATGTCTCAGTCAAATTATACACTGTGTGGTTTCTTCTAATTCCTCAGTTTGCAACAGAAAAAAAACAGTATGAGAACAAAACCATTAAAAAACACAATTTGAAGGATTTTTTTAAACCTGATTTCTCATATGAAGCTTAATTTCCTTTTAGGCAAACTGGAGCAGCCAAATTTTTACGAAGGGCTGCATCGTAGCGCTGGAGGAATGGCTACCACGCAACATTTACATTGTGGCTGGGGTCTTCATCGGCATCTCCTTGCTGCAGGTTATGACCTTTAAACATGCACTTTAAGGATAAAATATTTTCTTACTGCCAATTTGGAAACTATCCACTATTTTCTTCATGAATAACAAAATGCAGTTGCAGTCTGAATATTAGTTGGTTGGTACAGTGTCTTATAATTGGTAAATTAGTGCCAGTAGTGAATATTCTCAATAAATACTTCATTAGCATCATAAGGCATACACCGCTGTTTCATTTTTTTCTCTCTTTTGGGTTAACTAATCAAAAAATTAGCCTCCTTAAAATTACATAAATAATATTAACAAATGTAAAGAAAGTTTTGCCTGTAAAATGAGCATGTATGACAAAAATACACCTTTATCCTCACGTTATATTTCTTAATAAGGAAGACCCAGCCACTTTTTGGGAGATTTTCCAGTTTCATTTGCACAGAGGTGGCAGTTTCAGGTCCAGAAAGCAAAAATCCAGACCATGATTTACTTTCAACCGGTTGGTTGAAAGTAAATCATGGTCTGGATTTTTACTTTCTGGACCTGAAATTGCCACCTCTGCATTTGCAGAGCATGCTCTTTCGGGCTGACACCTCTGCATTGTTTCATTGTTGTTGTATGCCTTTGGTTAATTTCAACTTTCCCTTTTCCTTGCTTCCAATTGTAGATGGTGGGAATCTACCTGGCAAGAACACTAATTGGAGACATTGAAAAAGTTAATTTTAGATATTAAGCTATCAAGCATTTCAGAATGTGCCAATATCAAATATACAGCTCAGTGTATCTACCAATCTGGGAGAAATGCATTTAATTTCAGTTTCATTGTTATTTCCTGGAAGATGGGAGGAACAGCTTATATTTCCTTGTACAGGTTTAACTGAGAGGAAGATTTTCACAGGAGTTTGTAGAGTTTCATCCAGTTGCTATTCTGTTATTCTGTTACACTTCTACCGGAATGTCTAACTCTTAAGACATATCTGACCCAGACAAAAATATCTACCTTAGAAGTCTAAGATTTCTATTCATGTTTAACTGCTTTATTTTTTAATAGCTAAATGAGAATCAGTATATGTACATGGCATTCTTTTCCTAACTAAAAAACTTGCAGTGAACAATAATATTTATGCAGTCAAATTAAGGTTACCAGTGTTTCCCAGTGAGTTCAATTAGCTTTTTAGAAATCTTGACCATTCATTGGTTTACAATATGGATTTTTTTCAGTTGGAGCTACACTGATGTGTATGTTCCCTTGTGTATTTTCAACTCCCTTGCCATTCTCAAGAATTCCTTTCAGGCACTTGCTTCAGTGTAATGGTTTCTTTGACTAGTTGTAATTGTTACAGACAAAGGCCTATCTCTTGCCATTAGCTTAGGTAAAGCTCTGGGAGTTCTTTGAAAGTATACCATCAGACATCAATGAAAATTATATCCAGTCAGTTTGTTAAATAAAAGTGATATTTTTCTGGTGACACAAAATAGAAGGGATATGTGATAAAGTGACTTTTTTAAGTATAGTTACTGCCTGTCATTTAAGCTTTATAAATAAGAATTGCTTGTGTCTATTTGCTGTTTCTATGCAATAAAAAGTTTTGTATTCAGTTATAGGCTTTACTCTGAGTTTGCCATCATTGGATTGTAGAATACCACCGCATATATTCCAGACATTTTCCATAACCTTTTACATAAATACACAATTTTTTTGTCAATGCACAAGTCAGACCCCATTAACTTCTGTGTTCAGAAATGTGTGGTCATGTCACGACTGGCGGGCGGGCGAGCAGGAAAGCAGGCGAGCTGAGCCGAGAAGTCGAACAAACAGGGTTTTAATAGGAACGGGATGGCTGACAGGCACGAACATCGAGACAATACAATGACGGATCTGGGGAAGACTGACTCAGACGAGGACTAAATACAAAAGACAAGCTAGACATAACAGGACTCAGGTGATCACAATCAGGGCTGAACACGAGGTAACGAGGTGGGCGTGGCACACATCGGGATCGAACGGAGCGGATCGTGACAGGTCAAATATGTATGGGAGTCAGGAATGTGTGTTTCTGAAAATATAAATATGTTTTTATACTAAATTACACACTAATAGACAGTTAAATTAACAACGTAATATAAAAACAAATTATAAGATATTTGTGTACTTCACATTACAGGTACGGGCCACAAAGGTCTAAATGCTTGCAAAAAACTCCTATAATACTGGTAATTGATACTATTATCATATGATAAATTAACATCTAATATTTAGTATGATTTGTTAAGTAATTATAAAACTATGGTGGTCGTGAAGCTCGATGCGAGATCATTTAAGAAAGTGCAAAAGCAAGGCCGTCTTTCTCAACGTGGTCCTTGGATATTCCCAGACATTGGATATTCCCCAGTCCATATTTTTTCTCACTCCCAGCTCCCTACTGGGTCCCCAAGGACTTGTTTGAGAAACACTACATTTACCCCCGCCCATTTTTTACCCCCCTTTTTTTTTTTTTTTTTTTTTTTTTTTTTTTTTTTTCCCCCCTTTTTTTTTTTTTTTTTTTTTTTTTAAAGTTTTTTCACCCCTTTTCTCAGTGTATTGTGTTTTGCACCCCAGGGCAACTGTAATAAACAGTAATAAATAATGATAGCATTATTTAGCATGTTAGCAACTATGACAAAACACAGGAAAATTATAGCAGGATTCCCATATAGTAAATTGCTGTTCATGTACATGCTCTAATTGCATTACACCCATTACACCCATTACTAATAACATTACTAATGTTACACGATGAACCTGGCTAGGCTTAAACTTCTCTGCTGAACACTGCACAAATTGCATAAAAGGGATGGGCACTTAAGGATATGCAAGAATATGTGCATTTATGATTGGCAACCTTTTTAACCAATGACAATGCAAATCAGCAGCAACGCTACTGTGCTACCCCAAGGGCAGGCAACCTATCCATCCAGTATCCAGCAGGTTCTCTCTCTGCCTGAGATCAGGTGTGGTTCATCAGAGACCAGGTAAGAAGGAAAACCTGTTGGATATCAGCTCTCCAGGATCAGGGTTGCCTGTCCCTGGGGCGAATGCACCCAGGAAGAAGTTGTGCTCCAAGAAAACCTGATTTACTGATTCAGTTCAATTGCGGAACTAACACACCAACCGCTTCCAACCAGTGACTAACCTTTATACTCTTAGCCAACTATTTCGCAAGAACATTTTCATTACAGGAAAAGGAGTTAAAGGGCATATTGTGATCCTTGACAGGGGAAAATTTAGGGGACAAGACCTCTTACCTAGTTGCAACTAATTGTTTATAAAGCACATTCACTGTAAGAGTACCTGAAAGCAATGGATCAGATCTCCTTGGTTTTACGGTTTTGCTTGTTTGTCTTAGAGAGCAAAACAAATTTTTTGTATGTTTTTTGGTTTGACGATGACAGGCAAAAAAAACACCCTTACAATTATAGCAAAATAATAATAATAGATACCTGTGGGGAAATTGTCTTTTATGCCTCCCTCAACTTGCCCTTTGTACAGTAAGCTGTCTGTGAAGGGCAGCCACCTGTTGGGGCTCCCAGGGAGCTGGGGGTTAAGGGCCTTGCTCAAGGACCCATAGATTTGCTGAGGTGGGGTTTGAACCAGAGACCTTCTGATTACAAGCACACAGGCTCGGCCCACTAAGCCACACACTTCCCCCTTAAACACTAATAACACTCTTTTCCTCCGCGATGCCTCTGGCCAGATGCTTCATGATTCTTGGGATGGACTTTAGGCTCATTGCAATGCGTATTCCGCATAAGCTGTGATGGATGACATATGGAGGGAACAGGTATGCGAGGAGTTTTTCTTGAAATGTATTATACCGACAAAATTACTTCCCAGTGTTTGAGGTTCTCCAATATAATGGCTGACATACACTATATACACTCCTGGGCAAAAAAAATATATATTTTCAATTCAATTTTATTTCTATAGTGCATTTTCCCAACATTACATTGTCTTATAGTGCTTTAATATTATCCTCGCATAAAGCCCCCAGTGAGCATGCCAGAGGTGACAGTGGCAAAGAAAAACTCCCTAGAAGGAAGAAAGCTTGAAAACAACCAGACTCAGAAGTTGAAATTTTAAGATCTGCGTGTAAATGCGGAGGGCAGCCAGGTGATGGCGCTCTGGTGCTGGTGCTGCCAGGATGAACAGGGGGAGTTATACGGGCTATACTTAAGGCCATGCATTACAATGGTTGGTATAAGCATCAAGGATGCTTTGTACTGCATTATAAAGGTACATATAGAGCAGTGGTTCCCAACCTTTTTTAACTCACGGCCCACACAGCCAAACACATATGTTTCCGCGGCCCACTGCAAAAGAATTTAAACGATCCCGCTTTTTGTGTCGGGTTAACTAAGTACTCGGAAGCAAGGCTGTTAATTGTCTTTATTGAATAAACTGGTAATTTATTTAATTATATATCAAATTATGATTTATTTGATTTTGACTAGACATTTTTTATTATATTAACAATATTACAATTTCTATTAATAATAATTGGCGGCCCCCCTGCAATACCGTCGCGGCCCACTAGGGGGCCGCGGCCCACAGGTTGAAAACCACTGATATAGAGCATTATAGTTGAGAGCTTCATAAGGTAGTCATAATGCATAATGCACATGACTTTAATGCGTTATGCTTTTTTTTAAATAAATGTTTATAGCCATGTTTATAATGTTTTATGAATGCATTGTAATGCAATATGAATGTTTGATATAAAATTCAAACTAACATGTCTAGGCATTCAAAATTTTCCAAAATATCTTCTGGCTATTTGCTGCTAAGACGATTAAAAGTGTAATGCTCCGCAATTTGGGGTTTGGCCCACAAGTGTACAGTATCTCATTTTTCCATCCAAAAACTTTTCAGTACTCTTTCCAAATGCGATATGAACTATTCTATGCTGCTAAAAGAGTGACATGCCATTATGTTGGATACTCCTGAGAAACTACTCCACAGAGAGGTTTACTCAAACAGAGGAATCCTCGTTTTCTGGGAGAGAAGGTGTTTGTTTTCATCCCAGCTAATTCACACTCAAAGTCACGGGTGGATGAAGCCAAAGGGTGATATCATCTGCAAACAGCAACCACGTCAGCCTTTAAACTGGACATCCTCAATGGCTATTTGAAACCCCCCCTCCCCAAAACCGCATCAGAAGAGGTGACAAGACAGTGGCTTAATGAAATCAGATCCCGGTATTGATAATACTGAGATTGCAGGAATAGTTCTCACAAATAAGCAGATAGCGACACTCCTCATACACCATTCCTACATTACCTCTAACAGAAAACCACATGTTGGTTAATGCACTCTGTGCAGCAGAAAAAAAGCTGGTTAACTATTTCAGGACCAGCAAGGAATCTACTTTATTCGTTAGAATTAAAAAAATATTATCACAATCATACCTCATGAGCCAGAATATATTTTGGCACTAATACAAAAATCCTGTGTAATACTATAAAGAAAATAACCAAAATAATCAAATTTCTGTGACTTTTGCAAGAATAAAGTTGCGCATAGGAAAATAGAGATTGTATTCATTCTGAAAGGAAATTAATGTTAATATTGCTATACAATTTTCATGACATTTTTTTGCATTCCTTTACACCACTATGGAAATCTCGAATTTGAGCGTTGATTAATGTTCTAAAACCGCACACGTAGTGCCGTCAAGGCAAATCACAGTATAGTAAATCAATGCGCGATTATAATTTTTAATTACTTAACGGAAACCGTATAACCGTGGGTTGAAAAGTTTATAATACGCTTCTTGCAGTGGACTATGTATTGTAGTGTAGTCCTGGAGGTACCCATCAGGCAGCGCGGTATGTAAATACAGTACGTCCCTGTATTTGTGATGTAATGCGGTGTCATTGCTCTGTATGTAATGTGATGTGTAGCGTTAATGTTCATTTTTGAAAATAGTGGTGTGTGTGCGCCCGCTGTGGGTTGTTGGAGCGGTCGGGGCGGCCAGCACAGTGGGCAGTGGGTATAAGTGTGGTACTGTACGTATGTCTGTATTTTGTTCTTGTAAGGGTTATAAATAGAGAGCGCTTCAGTCCAGCGAAAGCTGCCTGTTCCCTAATTGCCACTGTCCCAATGCCTCGGTGAGTCGGTCTGCCACACATCACCGTATTATGGGTGGCTTGGGTCGTGGATAAACACAGTATTTATTAGTAGTAGGCGGGGGCGATATCTTATTTTTTACACCCGTCCAGATATTACACTGCGGTCTACAGTATTTTTTAAAAAGAATTCTGGTATTTCGAAATCCCCTAAGACAGTTTTGCCAAATGTAAATAGAATGATATGATACCGGTATACCGCTCAGCCTTAAATAATAGTTCTGCTAATAAGTTTTCTGTTCGTAAGCCTGAAAATAATGTCTTAAAGTACACTATATGGAGAAAAAGTATTGGGGCACCTGGCCATTAAATCTATAGGAATTTTTATGACATCCCATTCTAAATCCATAGGCATCAATGTGGAGTTGGTCCCCCACTTTGCAGGTATAACAGCTGCCACTTTTCTGGGAAGGCTTTACAAAAAATTTTGGAGTATGTATGTGGCAATTTTTGCCCATTCATCCCTAAGAGCATTTGTGAGGTCAGGCACATGTTGGATGTGAAGGCCTGGCTCATATTCTAGATCATCCCAAAGGTGTTTTATGTGGTTGAGGTCAGTGTTTGTTACCTGCTTTGTTACTTCACCTGTGGCCTATACTACGAAGCGCGGTTACTGGCTTACCGGGGTAACTTGTCGTATTTAAGGTGGTCTGGGCAAAATGTAAGTGAACTAATATGAAGTCCATTTAAACTGTGGTACCTTAAATCCGACAAGTTACCCCGATAAGCCAGAAACCCCGCTTCGTAGTACAGGCCACTGGTCTGCCACTTGGTGGCTGAGTTTCTGTTGTTCCTAAATGCTTACACTTTGCAATAATACCACCTACAGTTGACTGAAATATCTAGCAGGAACGAAATTTCACAAACTGACTTGTTGCAAAGGTGGCATCCTATGACAGCACCATTCTTAAATTCACTGAGCTCTTCAAAACGACCCATTCTTCCACAAATGTTTGTAAACCTGACTGCACAGCTAGCTGCTTGATTTTATACACCTGTGGCAATGAGTCTGAATGAACCACCTGTATTCAATGATTAAGAGGTGTGTCCCGATACTTTTGTTCATATATGGTACATGTAAGCCAAAAATTGTGGTAACCGTGATATAAGCAGGTCAATGCACTCCAAACAACATATTATAGTTTTTAACTGCATTCCGCAGAGGCAGCTGCTTTCTGCTTTGTGTATGATAGTTCTTCTCCTCTGCAGCCATGTGTTTCAAAACGTACAGCGCAGTGCATTCATGCATTAACCCTTACATAAAGGTTATTTGTGAGATTACTATCCAACTTATAATTCTTCCACATGAAATAGCACTGCAGTGCGATTTGAATGTCCACCAATAAACTTTCAGTTCATCATCTTGAAGTTCACCTATGTACATTTCTTAAACTACAAATGCAAAATGTTGTTTGTTTCATTTCACTTTTCATTGTATTGATCAATCAGGACACTCTGAAGACAATGAACTTTATTATTTTTTAATTTAACACAAATGTTAAGTATATAATATTAAGGAAATAAAGAAAATAATATTTAATAGTGAAGTTTTCTTTTTTTATTATTTCCGCTTCTGTGTTATTGTGTTGGGGTGTTTGTTGTCAGAGTTGTCGGTCACCACTTCCCTGATCCAGCAGGGGGCGATGAGGTTGCATACTTGGTCAGCATGTACTCTCATCATGTTACAAATGGATCAGGAAGTGCTGCAAGCTCTATTTACAGAGTGTTATCTATTTACCTCACTTCTCAACTTTGTCCTTTAGCTACTGTTTTTAATACTCTTATCTTAGAACTTTTGCTTTGTCCCAGTGTCCGTCTCCCATTGATCCCCACTGTAGTGTCGCCTCAAAATGTTCCTCTTTCGTTTGGACTCTGGACCTCAGGTAATTGAATCACACTTTTACCTTGCTTCCTGTCTAGGCTCGCCATCCCTGGATTCAATTGGTTCACAACACATGTAGATCTAGCTATGTAGACCCCAGTCGCAGATAAGGTAACAATTCCTTATTGTGTGTGATACTATTACCCAAAACATAGTATGCAATTATGGTTATTATATTTCACATTAATTCTCTCTCTCTCTCTATATATATATATATAGTATGCTAGTATATATATACCTACAGTATATATATATATATATGGGGTGGGCAATCTTATCCGCAAAGGGCTGTGGCTGAAGAGTCCTCACACCTGGGTTTGAACATCTGACTTACAGGTTACCCCAAAAACCTGCATACACACCGGCCCTTTGCGGATAAGATTGCCCATCCCTGATCCCCTGATACACACACACACACACACACACGTCATATGATTTTGTTATATGTATGTGTGTGTGTATATAAATTTACGCTATTAACAATTCTGGGAAACCTTCAGGATTTTGTGTATTTCCTATATACCTTATCAATCATATACCTTTTCAAAATTCTTTCATGGCTAAGTAGCTTGTAGTGGTACGAGCAGATCAGTGCTCTCCAAATCATGCACTCTGCTTCTACTTCACACAGTTTTTCTCTTCCGCAGTCGTGCGTTTCAAAACGCATAATGCACGGCACTTCGTGCATCAACCTTTACGTAAAGGCTATTTGTGACTCTACGTTAAAAAAAAATGTTATCCTCCATTAATATCACAATATTTCAACTGAGTCATTGATCTTGTCTTACATGGTTTTTTGTCTTTGTCACGCTTTATTAGTTAATTATGCAAGTGTAATATACGTTTTTTTTACCATTATATTCTCTCTCATTGCCATTTATGAAGGCTATGAATTCATGGGCTCATATCCAGTCTCTCTTAGTGGTACGGACCGAGCACGGCTTGGTTCCTGTATGCCAGTGGAAAAGCGTCATTAGATCACAACCTGTGCCGGAATGTAACACTTAATCTAGGATGTATGGGGAAAGTGAAATGGGGACTTAAATAAGCCTTTGAAGTTTAGCACGGGGGGAGTAGAAAGGCAAAATAAAATACTGAGTCACAAGGTCTGGGTGTGTGTTCTGGGACCTATATCACAAAGCCAGAATTCCTACTTAGCCGGATAGCTTGTTGGATTTAAATGGCCTTTATCTTCATTCACTTATATCTAGCCCAGATAACATTAATTCTGACAACTTAGCCTGTGATGATATATGTGCTGTCTGGTTGCCTAGCATTGTTCGGAGATTTTTAGGTGAAAATGTGCTCTTTAATACACTGATAGCCCACATACTTATGGCCTTATGCCCAGTGCTAACTGCATGTGTTCTTATAGGATAACGAGTCATCCAGTGATAACCAACAATCCATCCATTTTCCACATTGCTTATCCTGTACAGGGTTGCAGTTCATAATGAATCATCCTTGCCTCCATTTTCTATATGCTTATCCTGTGCAGGGCCTGGGGAAGGGGGGGGGGGGTGCTGACCCATCATAAAGCATAATGAATCTTTTATGGCCAATTGATCTTAGTTAAAATACAAAATAAAAGAAAATAAAATATTACAAATAAAATATTTTTCGCATTATTTTAATACTTCTTCAAAACAATACATTATAAATAAATTACATTTAAAAATGCTAAATGCCTTGCAGCATGTGTACATTATGTAAATTATCATAGCATCATGTTCAGTTAAAAATTCCACAACAAGCTGGAAGAACTTTTCTTTGCACATGGTAAACTCTTGGGCTTCCCTGGATATAATCAACTTTCATAGACACCAAACTCATTTCATAGACATAGATTGATTCATTTTCTTTAACTGCAAGGTATCATTAAACCAAAAGTAATACTTTCAAAGCATTAGAATAGATAGAAAAAGAAACTACGATTATTTATGTGCCTGTTATTGTTGAGGTCTGCCCGTAATAGAGAAAACAACAGCCTAGAATGTATTACTTCTGCTAACGTTATCACCGTGTTCGCCTTGGAATTGGTGGAGGAGAGTTTGACCTTTCAGGAGGCTTTTGAAGACGAGTGGGACAGAATGTGTAGCGGTCTGAGGCCATGCCCTCCGAAAACCTGAAACACAAAAGTGTTAGTCTTCAGATGACATTTGTCAGTCCTATAAAAGTAGAGGAAGTAGTACTTCTTTGTTACTGTCTTGGTGAACTTTCTTGCGGTCCTGCGATTTATTTATTTTTTTGTCTGATCTCTTGGTTGTCTGGTTTGGATCTGTGATCTGGATTTCTTAAATTGGTCCTGGTTTTGACCCTAAGTTTGTGCTCTTGTTTCTAGTATAGCTTTGTGTCTTGGTCCCGGTTGCTAATTGTCTGACTTTGTTTAGTCCCTCAACACTGTTACTTGTGATACCCATTGAATCTCAGCTTAAGTTCTTCTTTGCCATGGTAGCTATATACCTTGCAGTCCTGTCTACATCAAGCTCTTAGAGACATTCCAGCTGAAAAGGAGCAGAAGTATAAAAACCTAACCAGGCATGTGCAATATAGGGTGTACTTTTCTATCGGGGACCGGGTTAATGAAGCTTGATCTTCTTTAACACTGTTGTCTTGACTATTGCTGTGATTAATAATTTCCCATTTATGGAGTCTGAATGTTCATTGTTAAACTGCTGGCTCGTCTGTTTTTTGCTTCCTTTTCTGTTTCACCACAAATAACTGCCAGATCCCATCAAAGAGGAAGTATCTTAAAACAAGTTAGTGACATTGGAAACTGAAAATAATGTGATTCTTAGGACAGTATTCGGGTTCTCCTAAAACATAAGTGAATGTGTTTATGAGAGGTATATGACCTGTATATAATTCATAGCCCTTTTAAAATAAATAAATGTTTATTATTTTATTCACCTTTCAGGATACCGGGGCGGAATTCGAGGAGGCAACAGTGGTGGCATGTCGATATTACGTGGAGGAAGAGAAGGTGCAGAACTGCAATCGGTTTCGTCCTATAAATGTGCCAGGAGATAAATAGGTTTGGTAAACATTGCAATGACCAAGAAACACGCAGTTAGGCAAACTGTTATCTCTAAATTGCCTTTTGTGCATGTGAGAGGGCTCTGTGATGGACATGTGTCCCATACAGGCTGTTCCTCTGCCCTGTACTTCTCGAGAAAGGTTTATTATATTTTACTTTATAAAAACAAAATGCAAAAATTATTTATTGAAGTGATCATGACACTTATTATATAGTAAATGCATGGATGACTTTGCCAATCACATGAAAATGTTCCAAATTCAGTTAAGTAACATGAACAGTGATGGAAAGGTTATAAATACAGTAATCTGTCTAAGGTATAACCTGAGAAAACAGGGAAAATTTAAATACAGATTAAAATATCTCGGCAAAAACAATGACCTGCAGAAAATATCAAAACAGGAAACAAGGGTGTAGGTTTGGTTGCAGCATTGGTAAGGGTCAAATCAGCCCCGAATCCCCTGCCTCCCTAAACACACATCTACCATCCATACCAAAATCTACATCCTTGAGAGGAAATGAACAGGATGGTGTAATTTTAGTATTTTGCACTACACATGCAGAAGATGTCATTATTTTATGATACCGAAAATTGTTGTGAATTGCTGAGATCTGTTATTGAAAGAGGAGTTTTACCTCGTAATCATTCTCTGTCCTACTAGTATAGCTGCTAGCACTGTTGGTACTCTGCCGCTTACTTCCAATTCCTGTTAAAAGTCAAAAGTGGAGAAAAAAATGAACATAAATGAACGTAATGGTGCTCGTGACTGCACTTGGCATGAGACCACTCTACGCCGCAGATCAATGGTTGATGTTGTAATTGTATCATCGGATCTGCCTCTGCGTGTTTTGGACACTCGGGTGAAGAGAGGAACTGAGCTATCAACTGATCACTACCTAATGAGTTGGATCTGATGGCAGGGGAAGATGCTGGATAGACCTGGTAGACCTAAATGCATAGTGAGGTATATGCTGGGAGCGTCTGGTGGAGGTCCCTGTCCGGGAGATCTTTAACCTCTGGCAGAACTTCTCTGAGGGAGTCAGGGGACAATGAGCCTGAATGGGTCATGTTGCAGGCCTCGAACCTCGAACCCCGTGGTGGAAACCAGCGGTAAAGGGAGCTGTTAGGTTGAGGAAGGAGGCCTTCCGAGTTTGGTTAGCTGGTGGGACTCCTGAAGCAGCTGACAGGTATCTGCAGGCCAAGCGGAAAGCAGCTTTGGCGGTTGCTGAAGCAAAAATTCGGGTTTGGGAGGAGTTTGGTGAGGCTATGGAGGAGGACTTTCAGACGGCCTTCTGGCAAACTGTCAGACGACTCAGAAGGGGGAAGCAGGACTTTATTCATGCTGTTTACAGTTTGAGGTGACCTCAACTGGGGATATAGTCCAGCGGTGGAAAGAATATTTCGAGGATCTCATGAATCCAACTGATACTCCTTGCTCTGACAAAATAGAGCCTGAAGATTCAGAGGGGAACTTGCCCATCTGTAGGGCTGAGGTCACTGAAGTAGTCATAAAACTCTTTAAGTCTTTAAGAACGGGGACCAGAGGATGTGTCCCAGCTACAAGGGGATGACACTCCTCATCCTCTCTGAGAAGGTCCATGGCAGGATAGAGAGGAGGGTCCGGATCCAGGAGGAACAATGCGGATTTTGTCCTGGCTGTGGAACACTGGACCAACTCACAAGTATACTAAGAGGGTTTGTGGGAGTTTGCCCAACCAGTCCACATGTGTTTTCAGGGGTCGTACGATCATGAAGATCTTGGAAAAATCATGCAATTAAGGAATCACGTATTCCAGACCTAGAAAAGTTTGGCAAAATAAATATCAGAAAGTTTTGGAAAAGTCATGGGATTTTTGAAAACTAGTTTTTTTTTTTTTTAAATTCACATTCACAGTTTAACCTCGTCTCTCTCAAGCATTATCTTGATTATACTTTCCGCGTCTGCACAGGTCGTGAGTACGGAAGGCCATCGGGGCAGAAAACGTTTTTTTTTCCCCTTTATAAGTCTTGACACGGCAATGTCCTACTTAGCATTGACATTAAAATATGTGGTGTTTTGAAACGCCACAGTACACTTTGCTCAGTGCAATACCTGTGAAAAAGATTGCACTGCTATGAGTACAAGCTGGCAGAAAAATTTAGATACAGAATGTGTAAAAATAAAGATGTGTGTGCGTGACAGCGAGAGAGAGAGTCGGTGTCATTTAAGTGGTTACTGGAAGGAAAACGTTTAAAATGTAAAATTAACACTTTCACAAAGGTACAAAGTCATTTCTAGCTTATAATTTGACGCAGGTGCAAAAAGTCACAACACACACCCAAAGACCTTCCTTGCTACATGTTTACATGCAAAGTGCATTGTGACATTAATTGTTTATGCCATTATTATTATTATTTTAATAACATCTGATATTTCAACTTTACATATAAACTGTTGGGTGTACTTCAAGTTAACCTTATTTAGTTTTAACTTTTGTGACACGTATCTTATGTTACATTAGGGTAATTTTAATGGCACACAAGTAATATGTCTTTTGGTGCTTACAACTTAGTAATTAGTATTTCTTGTAATTGCAAATGTAAGGAATAAATTAATGACTATCTGGTGATAGCTAGAAGAAATAGCTAGCTAAAATAACATGTGGTTAATAATTGTTCAGCTCACCATTATTAGACCAGATGGAAACTATGCTTTTTTGATAGTGTGTGTCTGAACAAGAGAAAGGCAACATGCGTATCTTTAAAATTATATGCAATGGAAGGTACATTCATATCCAAAGGATACGTGCAAGATCATACCAACTGGTTCGTCAACACGAAGTTACACTTTTCCTGAATGGGTTGAACAAAAATTCTATCTTTGAATTGATTCCTGGAAATTTAGCTTGTCCTGGATAATTCATAAGAAAGCCATGGAAATTTGTTGATTAAGAAATGTATGAACCCTGATTTTGTGGACTAGGAAATGGCTAATGATGGAGTACTGTGAGGGTGCTTAAGGAGTATGGGGTCAGCAGGTCCCTGGACGAGCGGAGCGAGACCTTGGTTCGCATTGCCAGCAGTAAGTCAGACTCGTTCCCAGTGGGTGACGGACTCTGCCAAGGCTGCCCTTTTTCACCATTTCTGATCATAACTTTTATGGACAGAATTTCAAGCCGTAGCCAAGGGGCGGAGGCGTCCGGTTCGGGGGCCTGTTTTTGTCGGTGGCCGGCGAACTGCAGTGTGCACTGGAGCAGTTTGCAGCTGAGTGTGCGGCAGCCAGGATAAGGATCAGTACCTCCAAACCTGAGCTCATGGTTCTCAACCGGAAAAGGTGGGGTATGAGTTACTGCCACACGTGGAGGAGTTTAAGTACCTTGGGGTCTTGTTCAAGAGTGACAGAAAAATAGAGCAGGAGATCGACAAGCAGATCATGCAGCGTCGGCAGTAATGTGGACGCTGTACCATTCTGTTGTGGTTAAGAGGGAGCAGAGCCGTAAGGCAAAGCATTCAATTTGCCAGTTGATCTACGTTCCGACCCTCACCTATGGTCACGAGCTTTGGGTAGTAACCGAAAGAATGAGATCGTGGATACAAGCAGCAGAAATGAGTTTCCTTCGCAGGGTGTCTGTGCTCAGCCTTAGAGATCTGGTGAGGAGCTCGGACATTCAAGAGGGGCTCAATGCAGAGCCGCTGCTTCTCCGCGTGGAAAGGAGTCAGTTGACGTAGTTCAGTCATCTATGTGCCTCCCTCGTGATTTAGGTAAGTCTAAATGGGAGGGGACCTTGGGGCAGATCCAGGACATGTTGGAGAGTTTATATCTCTCGGCTGGCCTGGGAATGCCTTGCTATTCTCTGATTGAGCTGGAGGGGGAGATGTCCCTGCTTAGCCTGCTTAGCCTGCTTACCCCACTACCCGACCCCAGATAAGCGGCAGAAAATGGATGAATGAATGGATGCATATTATTTAAGTAAAATATTCATGCAAAATTTTGCATAAAAACAACAAAATAATACAAAAATCTGCACTTACTGGCAATACAAGAGATGCTCTCTTTTTGCCAATTTCCTATGTGAACTGGATAATCAGGATCGGCGTTCACTCGCGGGCAAGGCTCGTACACTGCACATTCCAGTTTCACTGCCATATCCTTGCAGGGGCTGTGTTGCAAGGGAGCTGTGATTTCTATATCTCAGGAAAAAGAGGTAATTTACATAAGAATTGTTGCAGATGTAACTGTATGAATGTTTCCTATAAATGTTGTTTTATCATCTTTTTTTGAAGTGTCTGTTTGCATCAGGGTCAAAATAGTCTCACGGCATCTGTGCAGCTATACAGCCTTCAAGCTTCCTGCCCCCTTGGCTGTACAAAAAACACTGTGTTGTGTGCATGGTTGCTGCCACTTCAGCAGCAGAAAATGCCAAAGTGGGGTAAGAATATTGTGATGAACACACCCAGTATGGCCAAAGCTCCCGGCAATCACAAAGTAGAACGAAGAATCCTAACACTGTCACTTAACTACTCACAACCCTGTCTCCTAGCTGCCTCACCCCAGGTGTCCCCCAGAATATATAGGGTCATGTGAAGCCTGCCACTTCTCCTTTTCCCCCACTGGGGAGGAATTTTATATTTTTGGGAAGGTGCAATAAAAAACAGCGCCGATTCAAGAGCATTAACCATGGATTTTTTAGTGGAATGCACTTTCCTCTTTCGCTTGACAAATGCTGTTTACATGTCTAATTAAACCACAAGTTTTGTAACACCGACTGGTTATCTACACTGGGTGCAGATAGCATCTGCCATGGTTTTTTTTCCCCCTTGAAGTCTTGTTTTTTCCATTTTAACTGAAACAAAATAGAAGTTTAACTGAAGCAAGCATACAATGTTGTAGAATGTTAAAGAAGAAAAAAAAGGTATGTAAAATCTTTTTAAAATAATTTGCAGGGCAGGAGGGATAAACAGATGATCTGTGGCCACACCCCGGGGGAATTTAGCAGATCGGATTATTTGTTTTAGGATGAACGCCTTAATTAAAAAATAAAATTTAAATTAAAAAAACAGATGGTGTCCTTAGTAGGTGGCGCTGGAAAGACACAATGACCCCTTTGGGGGGGCTCATGGCCTGCGAATGCCCCCCCCCCTCTTGACACCGACCCCCCTTTTGTAGTTAATCTTAGTTTTATTTTGTCAGTCATATATGACGGCATCATTAAGTGCTACTGAAAAGACAGCAGATACTGGGATAAAACACACTTTACCCATTTCCTTTCCCATCTTCACGTTCTCCTTGTGTCGTCTTGTTATGCTGTCTCTTAAACGCTTTAGATTTTCCTGAAATAGATACAAAGAGGTCCCATAATCCAGTGAATAAATGTCGAGGTGAAACTGCCAGTAATATAGGTTCAAAGGACACCATTATCAATGCAAATGAAAATCCTTAAATCCTACCTTAAATGGGACCTAGAGTAATTTGTATAAATAATTCATATAATAATATAAATAATGTGAATGACTACATCCGTGTTGATATTATTTCTGATGATCCTGGTCAGGTTCATAGTGCAGGGCAAAAGGCTGGGGTACACCCTGGGCAGGATTGAAAGCCATCATAGAGACACACAATCATACACTATAGGTAAATCACAGACACATTCAAGCCAAACTGCATTTGTCCTGTGAGAGGAAACTTGAATAAGCCCAGAAAACACATGGAGCACATATAAAGCACACAGAATGGAAGCAGGATTCAAACCTCAAACATGTGAAGCGACTGGACCACCGATGCATTTGTCCATCCTTTCTTTGATCTTCTAACCACTTACCCAGGTCAGTGTTCTGGGGGTGGAGCCTATTCCAGGCAATATACTGCCCAGGGCTGGGGGATACCCTGGACGTGAAGCCAGTCCGTGTAGGGGCATATAGGCGCATACACAGCATTTTTAGAGGCCAGTTATTCTAACAGAATCTTTGGACTGTGGGATGAAATCAGAGTACCCAGAGCAACTCACGCACCACAGGGAGAACACACATTCACAAAGTGGGGGTGGTATTTGAACCGCCATCCCTTGCAGTGTGAATCAACAGAGCCACCTATTGAGCCACTCTGCCACATAGGATAAGATGTGTTTATACAAAAACAAACCAGTATGGTGACTCAATGGGGATCACTGTTACTTCATACTGCGGAGTTTGAATACTGCCTTTACTCTGTGAGTGCAAAGTTTGCATGTTCTTCCTGCACTGCATAGATTCCCTCCTAGTTTCCACCTGCAGTTTCAAGACATGCAGTTAGATTAAACAGTGTCTCTTTAAATCGCAGAGAGTATGTACCCTGTGCTGGACTGGCACCCTGTCCAGGATGTACCCCAGCCTCGTACTGCCTGGGATAGTATCCAGGCCTTTCTGTCGCCCTCTCTAGGTTCATTGGTTGGATGGGTCAGATAATTAAGCTTTTCTTATTACCATATCATAGAGAGCTCCTGTACCAGAACAGGAAATACTTTTCATGTACTTTTACATTATGGTTTATAATAAGAATACGACCTGCTGAAAGCGTAGGGACAGAGATCTCTTTTCCTGATTCATCTGCCACTCCTTGAATTCTTGAACAGCTTCCTCCACACTAATATCGCCCACTTTTACTCTCTCTTGTAGGGAAATGAGTTGTCTCTGTCCAGGAGTCTTCATTCCTGCATATGGGTCATAGGCTGTTGTTTGAGGTCTGTCTCTGGCAGGTCCTGTTAGCACCATCAGAAAGAAAATACTGGTCACATCATTTAAGAATACAGATTTTTTTTTTTACATTGGATATTTTTAATGAGTATTTGAAACTTTACAGTGTGCTGTAGTATTTTCTCATACTTAATACCCATGCATATATTTGAAAATATGTCGCACTGTCTGATTAGTAATTTCAGTATAGCAAAATACCCCAGAACACACGGCCTTTCTTTACTATTCACATTCAAGCACCAACTCTACTTGGACGTTTTTGAACTTCTTCATCTCATTTGTTTGTTTTATTTGTTAATTTAATGTGTTTAAAGATTATCTGCATCCTATTAATGATCCCAAAGCTTAAAATAGATTAAATAACTGTGAGTTCCAGATTGATCTAGAATAGATAATCTAAACAAAGCAACAGTTCAGAAGTCACTTAAAAGCACTCAATACCTGCCATGCCTTGGTAAAAATATCGAAGTATGCAAACATTTTAAATGTGTTAGGAATGATAATGAAGTGAATAATATCGCTACCTAATTCCATATATGAGCATGCTATAATTCAATGTAATATAAATATGCTAGCGCACAGCGGTGTGTTGGTGCCTGCCCACGGTTGGTTCCTGCCTGCGCCCATTGTTCCCGGGATTGGTTCCAGTCCCCCCTGTGACCCCAGTTGGGATTTCAGCGGTTTCAGAAATTGGATGGATGGATAAATATGCTATAAATATTATTTTCATTGTAGAGATGAACATAGAAGATAAACATTAAACCCAATAAATTAAAAATCAGTGGGTAGTACTATTCCCTCAGACCACAAGTACCTCAGGTTTTAGTTTACTTGTTCTTGTGTCATGTAATTTTTACACTAAATTTAAGTTGTGATTATAACAGTGATTTTAACAGTAGTGTGAACACCCTGCAATGGACTGGCATCCTGTATTGCCCCACCTGGTGCTCTGTGCTACCTGAGAATGCCCCACCCCACCCCACCCCCCCTCATAGTACTGTACAGGATAAGTAGCTGGAAGATGGATCAATCATTTACCTCTCGCCAGCCTTTCCTCAAAGCGCATATCCTGGGGTGCTATTGATGGTTTTTCAGAAAACACTAAAAACAAACAAACAAACAAATCTGAAAACTGAAAACCAAAGAGTGTCGTAAACAGCAAGAAAATGCACTACAATTGCTTACAGAACGTATTTTGTATAACAATTACACAGACATTTCAATTAGTTTTTTGCACATGCATTACAGTGTGAAATTAGAGGTGCAATGCAGTGAAAGTTTTCAAAGGATTAGTATGTTTTCATGCTTGTAATGACATGTACCTCTGGAAATGTAGGTCTTGTTTTCCTCGGTCTCAGCAGTGACAACCGAAGGTCTAGGGATCGGTGCTGGAGGACGACTGATAATCTGTGAGACATGATCTGGGGCAAGCTCATCTAGAGTGTCATAAATTTCATCAGCAGGACAAAAGTTATAAGGATCTTCCTCTTCCCCCTCACTTGCTATATTTTCATTTCCCTCTGTTTCTTCTCTGTGAGTTTCCTCCTCTGAGTTTAGGAATTTCTCGGTCTTGCTTGTTGTCCCAGCTGCAATTTTTGAAATGTTACTGGGTCACAATCATTTTTGTAAATGTTTTTATCCATATGTTGATGAATACATATCATGGAATAGTCAATTTTCACATTTAAATTCCATTTTACCTTGAAAAAATGAACGCAACATGGCCTCCTCAGGATTGAGAGATTGCCTCATTGCTTTTTCCATGTCCTCATCTGCAATGGAAGAAGCACTTCATTAAATTATCACTAAAATAAAATAATTAGCCCGTCTTGCATATTTCTCAGACTAACAGCTGTGGAAAAATGTTTAATCAAAAAATTGTCAGGTGAATTGAAAGCTGAAATAACGACATCTGAAAGAAAATATGCCTTATTGTACAATTTGTGTATAATAATGGTATTTTCTAAATAGTAGTAGTCAAGGGACTGAAGTCTTGTATTAAAATGCTGAACTTTTCTTGATATGTTTATTTATTAGACGTATGTAGGAAACCAGATTCCTGGCATAATGTTCATGTGCAGTGTATTATCTCATAAAAAAAAACTTACATAAATCTTGGATGCAATCTGGGTCCAACTCCAGCATTGATTCATAGATGTCTTCCTTACACTCAGTGTCCAGTGTTAAGCTATCCTGAGTTGTTTTGGACATGGGCTCATATACGTCTTCACTTTCCTCTTCTGTGATGCTTTCCTTTAAGTGACTCTTGTCCGTTCCTGCATTTTCCTGTTTAAAATGTTGAAATAAAATAAATTATTGCTTATCTACTTTTGAAAAGACAGTCTGAATTCTTTTTGGTTATGAGCCAGGTTCTTAACCATCTCTACTCTTTAGCAGGAGTACATTTTGATTACTTACAACATACTTGTCCATAAACTGTCTAAGGTCTAAAAATCCATTTTTCTCAGCAATGTTATTTGGATAATCGCCGCGCCTGTTTCCCACACTGTATGCTTGCAAAGCACCAGGGCATTGCAGTAGAAGGGTCATAAGATTTTTTAGCCCATACTTTGCAGCAAAATGTAACAATGTAGGTAACTCCTCATTTCGTTGATCTATAAAATATATACATTAAGAAATAAATCAGTTATTGCTTTTTGAATGCTAAGTAAAATTACAAGTAGAAAGACAGATTTAACGTGATTCAGTGTTTAGACAATAAAATGGCCATAAAACAACATATTCAATGTATAATCTAAAGGTTACCATACACTAATAGTTTAGAGAGACACAAATGAAAAATAAAATAATTAATGCAATGGCACTGCATTGACATTGATATATTGTCTGCACATTTTCTTTCACATAACCGTCTATAGGCACAAATACTTACAGGCAGACATGTTTTCTTCTTCCAGCTGGTTTATTCCAAAGATTTCAAAACCACTTGTTGGCATTTTACTTTTAAGTAAATCAGCCAGCACCTTGTCCAGAGATTCTCTGCAGCTGGATGTGATGTTGAAAGCCTGAATATATATAATAAATCAAATGACACAAATTCAGACACACAATGTATTTCTTAATAAAAAAAATTATATCTACACACGTGTGTGTGTGTGTGTGTGTGTGTGTGTATATATATATATATATATATATATATATATATATGCATACATGCATACAATATATCAATTTGTATGAGTATGTATGCATGTATGTATATACAGTATGCATGTATGTATATACAGTATGCATGTATGCATGCTACTTTGTGTACACTGTGCTGGAGTTTTAATAGGGTACATTAAAAACACTACATCAGGGGTAGACATGCCTGGTCCTGCAGTGCCGGATGCCCTGCAGGGCAAACCTGCTGGATCACTGCTGCCTACCCCCACACTGTACTGGCATTCAGATATTTAAATACTTTCATTTCATTTTGGTAGGCAAATGCATATATATTTTTTACCTGACTGAAAAATTCCAAGGGATTTGTTACACTTTCCAGGTACCTATTGACTTCCTCCATGCCAGTGAAATATGTCACAGACTTTGAGCAGACAATCAAGTCATTGCTATACAGAGAAAGCAAAACACTTCCCGAAGGCATGTCTGAAATAATGATTAGAGGCACAATTTCAGATCTAATGTTATCTATAGACATGAAAATTTGTAACACATTTACTTCATTAAAGGTCATGTGCTGTTAATTAACTTGAGACAAGAGCAATGAAATGATTGTTTTGAGTTCCTTTTTCACTTATATGTGCTATTCTGATGTTCCTCTTACCAGGTGATGTGACGCTCACAGTGTATTCATTTTCCACTGTCCCTGGCTCTCTTTTGGCACCACATTCTTCACAGGAAAATTCCACTGCAGTTTCTGCATGAGCGTCCAACTTACATTTCAGGAGGATGTAAATAGTCACTTTGGTCTATAACATCACACACACATACACAAAACATTTTTTTTTCTCATTTGCACAACTGGACATTTGTTTTAAGCATTTGGGTTAGGGACTGTAGGGACACCTCACTATCAATTTTGTGCTTCCTCTAACCTTATGTCTCTTTATACTCATTCAATGTTCTTATGTTCTACTTCTGGCCCTTGAACAGTCTTATGGGGTTCATACTGCTGTGTACTCATGGTGCACTGTCTGTGCAAATACAGTGCTGACATGTGTACCTGGGCATTCACTGGAAGCTTAGCATGCCTAGTTGTTTCCTTGACAGCATGCACTGCAATGTGCTATTTGCCTTGCTTGTGCTGCACATGTGATCCGGTCACTACTAATGTTGAAACCAAAGTAATAGTTTGTAACATTTGTCAGCCCGGGGATGGGTGCTAACAGTAAAACTTTCCGCCGGGGGGGAGGGGGGTTTTCAACCACACACCTCGTGACCCACTGAAAATGGTCCCGTGACCCACATCTTGGCTGCAACCCACCAGAGGAGAAATACTGGTTTAAGGCAGCAAAATTTTAGGTATTTGACACCATTTCAAGAGACTACCAAAAATGGAAAATTACCAACATTTTCATTTCCTTTGGTGCATAATAAATAAATTAAAAGAATGATCAAAAGCTTAAATTTACTCAGACACAAAGCTGCTAAAGCTGGCAGAATGTGAAAACTGTCTAGGTAATTCATATTAGACTTTTTGAATCATTATATTCTGCTTATTACTTGCAAAAAAAATTTTTCTTCTTTAGAAGGTGTGTTTCTAATTTTATGTTTACAGGACAAAACATAAGAATTCCTGATTTTTGCTGCATGGTCTTGTGTCTTTTATACGTTTCCTCTTTGTAAGGTGAGTTTCGGAGTGTTAAGTGCTGACGGGACTAGGTCATTAACTTTGAAATACACGGATAAACTGCTGGTCTGAACCCCAGTTCTGAGTAACCAATGACAAAATCATAGAATAAAGGAGTTTCAGACAAGTGGCAAACTAAACTAGAAAACAAACAGAGAACAAACCAGGACCAACAAAAATAATTCAAATAGCTAAAACATGTAGAGCCAGATAATCGAGACACCATAAATCAAAGCGGCAGCATAGGATAGAGATTAATTGGACAATGATTGACTACAGGTTTGGCGACTGTAGATGGGCATGATCCATAAACAGGAGTACCATTTCAGAAATACCATTTTATACATACAGTATAAGTCATTACTGAAATGCTTTGCGCAGAATTTATATTTATTTCTTTATATACTTATTTATTCACTCACTATAATTTTTAAATATGTTCTTACCCCACAAAGTATCCTGTCCGGCTGGACTATGAGACAGACATCTTCATCATTTCCAGGTGGTGTCTGAACCTCCTGATTGTTCACACCATCTTCTTCAGGTAGCTGCTCTGCCTTTGAACACTCTAGTATTGATACTGAAGGTTCACCTTCACCTTCTTCTCTCTGAGTCATTTGTGTTGTATTTTCAGCTGTTTCAGTTTCATTGGTTGTCACATCGTCATCGCCTGTTTAACACATTTGAAACAAATTCCTATCATTTGAGTGTTTACAGGAATATTTTTCAAAATTAATACTTCTTACCAAGGAAGTGTATAAGTGAATCCCAGGTCTTCAGTACTCAAAAATAACTTTCAACTCCCAAAACTTTTCAGTTATTGTTTCCTTTAAATGTTTAATTTGATTTTTCCATCCATCCACCTTCCTAGCTCTTGTCTTGGTCAGGGTTGCAGTGCAGTTAGGGACAGACAGGGGCAGAATAGGGCACAAGGACGTGGTATACCCTGGACAGGATACCAGTCTCTCATGGACACATGTTTAATTCTGTCCTCCATTAGTGAGCACCGGCAGCAAAAGTTTATGCAATTTAGTGCCGGGTAAATTCAGGCAGGTGGCAGGACAGCGCAGGCAGGCAGCAGGGGTGGGTCTAAGGGTGGCTATGGACCCCCCAAGTAAATATGTGGCCACTGCTCACCAGAAAATAAAAATGAAATATGGAGCATTTAATTCCATATTTTGATTGGGGCATGTCTCTAACTCCATTGTGAGATGATAATGGATAATGCTTGCAAAATGCACATGCCCCCCGGGTCAGTAAAACACACCAAGGACCCCACCTAGTGGGCTAAATATTACCCTATTGCCACCCAGTGAAATCATTGGGTCTAGTCTGGCCAGCCCATTGCACAATGTCTGGCAGGTATACTGGCTTAGGCAGAAGGCAAATAAGCAAGATGAGACAGTCATGTGACTGACAAAAACAGCCAGGCAGGTGGGCAGACAGACATTCCCTGATTTCTGGACCTTGGAATGGTTCACTCTGGTCGAGGGAAGGCGATAAGGACACAGAGAAGACAGCAGGGTGCATGAAATAAAGAAGTTGTGGCAAGTCTCGCAATGACAGTTTTAATAGGAAGGAGAGGCAGGTGGGAAAAGACATGAGGTCTATGCTAGCAAGAAGAGGCCGCTTGTTAAACAAGAGTGAGAGCACTGACCGCACAGTTCTTATGGACTGCAAAAAATGCCAGTCCATCACATGGCAAACGATGCACACAATCATACTCTACTGGCATTTTAGGCTGTACTGTATGTCTTCAGTTACCTGAAGGAAATCAGAGATCCTAACAACATCCTTTGATGCAGCTTTAATTTGCATGTTACTATACTGAGGTGTTTGGCTTTAGCAAAATATTAAAGAATGCAAAGCATTTAGATTACATCTGGTTATGTAATATATTAAGAAATAGTAAAACAGAAAAAGACGCCAAATTCCACAATGTACTGAACATGTAAATATTTACTTTAAATATTCATTTTATGGTGGTTTTGAATTGGTTAATAGTAACAGTATTTCAATTGTCTTTCCAGCAGCACAATATTTGAAATGAATGCAAATGTAGAAAATGCATACAGTACATACCATCAGAAATAGACTCAAGAACAGTAGAAATGTATATTGCTGGGTCATCATCAGGGTAAAGTTTCCTCCAGAAATGCCAGTGTCCAAAATGCTCATTTAGCAAGTCACTTTCTGACACCCCACAGAAGAGCAATACCATTTTATTAGGAGGACGAAAAACTTTCTTATAAATCTCAAGCACTCCTGGGTTGCACTGCATGTCCAAAAATTCCGTGGATAGCAAAAGCACAATACATCTGCTGGCATTAAAAATAGCAAACTCATCCTCTTGCAAAGAAACGTCGGCAGTGACTGGATACAAGAGAATTGACTTGGCAGGAAACTTCTGAGAAGAGCTTAGGACACTTTGAAGGTACGTGGCCCATTCTTCAGCGTCCCTTGTGTAAACAATCAACACTTGGTAGCTGTACGTGGAAATAGTTGGAGAGATAACTGAAAAACAAAACATTTACAATTCATTTGATCATATTAATTTACTGTAAAAGAATGCATGTGCACATATATTTAATAAAAATACCATTTTCCCCTAAGATTTTACAGACATATATTGAGAAACATATGATTATGAGGAAGGAGAAAATTGAGAATATGTATGTGAGCCCCACATTCCATGTATTCATTAAATTTTCACCAATCAATCAATCAATCAATCAATCAGTTAAATTAGCTAACTTAATGAGATAGTGATAAGCCAATTAAAGTGCGGTAGTGGTCAAGTCAAAAATACATGGATATAGTGGATGGTTGCTGCAAATCCTGGGAAGATTTTAGTATTTGAAATGGAAAGCTGGCACACTTTGACAGACATCAAGACTTTGACTGCCCAAGACTTTTGCACAGTACTGTGTGTGTTTATATGTATATACTGTATATGTAACCATGAAATGTCTAACCATCAAGTGTGTCTATTCGCGTCGATGTGAGTGCCAGGCACCGCTGCAAATTTTAGATCAGTATTGGCTGTCGATTTTATAATGAGCTATTGTGTCCTTCATTAAAACAATTCCTACACTTGCTACATCCATCCATCCATCCATCCATTTTCTGAAACCACTTCTTCTATTCAGGGTCACTGGGGGTCCAGAGTTTATCCTGGAGGCTAAGGGAGCAAGTTGGGGAACAACCCAGGATGAGGTGCCAACCCATCGCAGGGCACCTTCAAATGGCTTATCCAGTAATGTTGTGGGTATATGAAATACTGTAAAAATAAAGCGTGTAACATTTTGTCTAACTAGACTACTGTCACATCCTGCCTATCATGTCCGCCTGACCCTCCTGTCTCCTCCCTAAGGTGGCCTTGTTGAGCCACGCCTGTTGCTAGTTGCCTCTTGTTAGTCTTTGCCTTTAAGTACCTGTTTGTCTCGTTAGCCTCAGCCCGGTCACTGATGTCGCTTCTCCTGTCTGCCTCTGTCCGTCCCCGTACTAGCCTTCTTTTTTTGACCCCTTGTGGTCTTGTTTGTTTCCCTGCTCCCATTCAACTCAATAAACCTCTTTTTGTTTGCCAAACGCCTGCCTTTGGGTCCTTTGTCTCTCATCTTATGACAGCTACAAATTATGCCTGTGCAGACACTGCATGCTCTGCCTGTGTTGATTGAGTTTTCACTCACAGACATGCAGTTAGGCTAAATTGCAAAGGTCTCTAAATTGCAAATAGAGTATGATTTTGTATGTGAGTGTGTGTGTGTTGATGTGCCCATCAATGTACTGGTATCATGTGCAAGTTATGCATCTGCTTTGTGCCCTATGCTGCCTTGGATAGGATAACAGATTGGAACATGGATGGGTTGGTTAGCTAAACTGAAAATAATCACCACTTCAAACAGGACACAAGTGATGTCACTGATACATTTTCTAATGGCACATTAAAACTTTACTAGAGACAGTTATAAAGTAATCAGCTGAGCCCTGGACACGGAAAATCTGTTCTTGTATTGAAATAATGTGTTTTGTTCATCCAGCAAGATGCACAGCTTAGTTTGTCCTTCTGTCTTCACAGAACATTTAGTTAGTTTGTGAATATAAACCATGAAATGGGAAATGGGATATTAAACAGAGTGATACAGCTCTGGAAAAAATTGAGGCCACAGCAATATTTTTAGTTTCACTAATTTCTCAATTTATGGGCATGCTTCTTTAAAATATACATTTTTCATAAACTCCAACCTGGCTCTTCTCTGTTTTTCATTGATGAAGGACATCTCCCTAACTTTATCAGTCTTCAGTCCTGCTTCTGTTTGTATTCTGCTGTTGTGGGTTTTGTTGAGAACTGAGCTGCTTTGAAATATGCCGCATGAAGTTTTGGTCACACAGATCTACGGAAGAGGATTAGGGCCACCATGAAAATATTATTTGAATTCTGACTTTCATCTCAGAATACTGAATTTAGAAAAAAAGTCAGAATTTAGATTAAAGTCAGAATTCTGAGATTAAAGTCAGAATTCTGAGAAAAAAAGTCAGAATTCAAATAATATTTTCATGGTGGCCCTAATCCTTCTCTGTACAGACCAAAGCAGTATGCAATACAGAATAAAAGTAACCCAGAATAAAACACAGTGTCACAGTGTTCTTTCAAATAGCAATACCCATATCTCTGACAGGCTGATTTATGTTATTGCAACAAAGAAAACGACTTCATCCAAATTTGATCTAATGTTAAATTACGGCTATTAGAGTAAAGCTATAAATCTATGAATGTGTCCTCACATAATATGTAACTTTAGAGTATACCAGGGTTCAGTAGAAAAATCTGTTGTTTATGCTGTTGTCTAATAGGCCATTTTTGGGCGATCCCATATAACATTGTAACATTGTATGTATGTCCGCCAGTGTCAATCAAAATGTTTAGTATCTTAAATCATGCCAAATGCCTCATCAAGTGTGGCTGCATAAAATCTCGAAATCTGAGAAAATCTCTCCTGTGCCAGGCTTCATCTGCCACCTACCACCAATGACCTACAGAATTTATATTAGTTATATTTCTATTAACTATTAGTATTAGTAACCATTAGTATTAGTAAATTCTGAAATTGTTGATCAATATACCTTCCCCCAGCATTGCCTTTGCAACTTCCGTTTATTTAGTGAGGAAGAAATGAGGTCATGGATTTCGAAAACTAAACCCACTACCCATCCAATGGACCCAAGTTCCACTAAACCGTCTGTGGAATCTTTATCAGCTCTCTGTAAGCTCATCCTCACCATTGTCAGTTTATGCCGGCACTCTGGATGTGTTCCGGGATGTAGCCCGGGGGCCATCCTGGAGTCCATATACGGGGCATAACCCAAAAACTGTCATGTATCGTAACACAGTGACAGTGATGGTAACAGTGATTGTAAAAAAAAAGAAAAAAGTTGGACTTCGCTAAAATTGTTCAGTGCTTCTGTAGGTTCTCCGCTGGTGTAACCTATGGTACAGCCTTTGACACAGCTGACCATGCACTCATATTTTTCCTAAGAAAACATTGTTGATCATTTGGCATGCTTATAAAGAAGAAGTATTACATCTTTTTTTTGTACAGTCTTACATCATTTTATTTCATATTTAAGTTTTTTTTATTTCAAATTATTGCATGTATATGGAAGCCTGTTTCCGCCATCGAAAACACGACAGTAAGTCAAAATTATGGGATACTAATGTACGCTGTATCTCATAATTTAAGCTTAGTATCTCATAATTATGGTTTAGTGTCTCATTATTTCAACTTTGTATCTCATAATTTAAACTTAGTTTCTCAAAATTATGTCTTAGTATCTCATAATTATGACATAGTATCTCATAATTTCAACTAAGTATCTCATAATTTCAACTAAGTATCTCATAATTTCAACTAAGTATCTCATAATTTCGACTTACCATCTGATAATTATGACTTAGTATCTCATACGCTTTTACGCTCCTACCAGCGAATCACGCTCATACTTCAGAGCCTTCACTGGTTCCCTATAAAACTATGCATCCACTTTAAAATACTTCTTCTAACATTCAAAGCTCTTTTTTTTTTTTTTCTTTATTGCCCACCACCACCATTCAAAGCTCTTAATAACCAAGCCCCGTCACGTCTTCTCCCTGACCAGCCTCTCCTCCCCCTTGGATCCTCTCTTCTCCCCCCCCCCCTTCCACATAGCTATGATGACGGCGCGTTTTCCTGCTTGGCTCCGCGACTTTGGACCTCCCTCCCCAACGCTATGCGTCCGTTGAGCTCTGTCTCTGATTTCAAAATCAAGATAAAAACCTTTTTCTTTGTTCAAGCATATAACCTTCCTTATCCATAATATGTTTTATTTTTTATCTGTTTACTTTACCTTATTCTCAGTATTCTCAGAAAAATGCTATCTGGAAAAAAAAAAAAACTAGATTCCCCCCCTCCCCCACCCAAGGGTCCTAATGTACACTAAAAAAACAAGAACGGTTTAAGAATTTTTGGGACAGTGATTTTTTTTGAGCTTGCCTCCGAGTTCTATCCCTAGGTATCAAATTTAGTGTTAAATTACTATTGTCCTTTTGATGAGTTTTTTTTTTATGGACAAAGGAATTTTTTTTTTGTAAATTGACAAAGAAATTAATTACAATCGGGCCAGAAGCAATAACACCTTTTCTATTTGTAACCTCTTGTTTAAAATATGCTGTTTTATGTATTGTGAGTTGGTAATTTGCATTTTTTATGCAAATGTTCCAAAATTCACCATGATCATGTGTTAAATACGCATTGACGTACCACCTTATAAGATATATTTTTTAGTTAATGTACTTATTTAGTAATTTTTTTGTATTAAATTAAAAACAGACTGGTCTGGTAGTGCCTGTATGATGGAATATGCCCAGGTCTGAGTGCGCCAGGCTTATTTTTTTATATTAATATAGTAATGTTGCTTTACCTTGGTTTCGTTACTCTTGCATCAGTACACAGAGAGTTGAACGTACTTTGGATAAAACTACTTTTGTAAGTTCCCAAGTGTCAAAATGAGTCTCCAAACCAAATGTTGCATTCCTAAATGCTATTTGACTTGGGACTGATCAGTTTAGTAAATCTATTATTCACTGATCATTGTACTGTATAATTCTCATGCAAATCCAATGCAGTTTACCAAAATTATCATATAAAACTCTTCTCATTATTTTCAGTGGTAGTTACAGAATACTGTATGTGAACAAATGTTTCTTTAAACATCAAAAAGGTGTTTTAGGATATTACATTTTGTAATGCTAGTTAGATGTGTACTGAAAATTTAAGTATAAAAAGTGATATGAAAGTTTGGATGATATCCAACTTCCTCTTCTATTCTAGTTCAAAATTGCATTTAACACAAAATGACTAACTTCTCCTTATTTTAAATGTTAACCTTTGAGGCCAGATACGATGCTAACTCCATTTAACAATATGCAGCAGATTTTCTTCCCCTGTCTTTCATCTCGTCCAGGGACACTTTGTCTCAGGTTCTGTCTATAAAGGGTTTGCACTTAAGTAGACCAGATATTTCACTGAATGCCACCAATTATAATTATGGAATTATCAAAATAAATGTACATGTGCTTTTCCAAAATGCCTGGGATACAGAACATTTCTGACTGCTTTTTCTCAGTTCTCCTTGTAACATACTGGTCACATTACAGTTTCTTAAAAATGAGCAAAATACTACTGCATATTTTATGCTATTTAATATGTCAGCTTAAACATTATGCGCCAATGTTTAATGTTAGCTGCCATGTATTTAATTTTATCTTTATGGCCATATAAAGGAAATTTTAGCACTGAAATTTTATAACATTCATTATATTAACACTGATTCTAGATATAATTTTCTCAGTAAAGTACATTCAATATTTTATTTGAGTTTTGATGGCCACTCACAGACTGAGCAGCACGCATGCTTAAGCTGACAGAGTTGAGAAATTCTACATCCTGTTTTTGCAGACATGTTTCCCTTCAGTAGAAATATGTCTGTCTGATTAAAAGCAAAGTAAATACAAACTTTTACTTTACTTAAAAATACACAAAATCAGCACATAGAATAATTGTTATAACTAACCAGGTATTGGTGAACAGAGCAAGACTGATTTAAAATGCTACTTTCTTTTGAAATTGAGGTCCGTCTTTGTATTGCAACAAATCTGTACTTCACTTGCTTTATTATCAAAATTATAAAACAAAATGGGATTAGTACATGTTACTCACATGATGCTGACATCATGGTGCAGTGTTCATGCACCCATATATCCACAGTGCAGCGTCAATTTCAGAGAAGTTTAAATGCCACTGTAAATATCCTTCACAATTCTGATTTTCAGTTATACCCTGTTCAAAACATGGGCATCTAGTTAGTTCTATTTAGCTGTTTTTGTGAGAAACAGATCTTCGCCCTCTGTCACCATCTCTTTCATATTGTATTAATAGCAACCGCTTCCTGGAGTTGGCTGACAGCTTGTTACTTCCTGAAACACGTCGTCTGTTCTAAGAAACAAGTGGCTGTACACAAGGTCTATATATTCTACATACATTTGGAAAATTATCTATAGCAACCCAGTTAAATCTAAAGACAATAAATCTTATATATTTTATAACATAAATGAACAGTATACTGATTGTTGCATTTATAAATATTATAAGTGATAATTTATATAAACCCAACTGACGTAAGGTGTTGTTACTGCACTGGTTAATCATTTTTAATTATTAATCATTGCCGTATTTTAATTTCATATTACTATTTCAAACACTAAATTTACTACAATAGACTATTTTTTGCAACTGGTTAAAAAACACACGACTATCAGCTCATGATATAACACTTTGGCAAAAAAAAATGCCTCATTTCACGTGTGGCATGTTGGCAGGTGGACGAGACGCCCCAGTTGTAACTGAATGCCTTACAACTGCTGTGACTTTGTTCCGTACTACTGCTGGGGCACTGGAGAACTTTGTGGGAGGGATGGGGAATGCTGGGACCTTAACTGGATGGGCCCCGGTCAAAGAGATTGCACAAAAGTTTAGAGTAGAAGGATGACGGAACTAGAACTGGCGAAAGGAAGAGGAAGCTTAAAACAGGCCACTACCATCTCATTAAATGACTGGCAAATCCTTGATGTAGTAAAAGGGTGATAAAATGCCAGTTTTCGTCCTGATGAATTTCAACACGACCTGGCATCACTACTGTTGGTGCTATAGTGCCCTCTAGTGCAGTTACCTGGGTACTGCCACATCTTCCGCAACTTCCTTTTATCAAAACAAATCCTGAACAGTACAGTATTAACCTATTCTAGGTGTACATTTCAGCAAACTTGAATCTAACCTGAACTGCAATAACTATGGGGTTCGAAACAGCGGGCATTAAGGTGTTTCAGTGGTAGCACTGTTACTACTTTGTGTAGCGGGATCATTATTTTAAAATTTACTATGGTTTGTAATATTTGTTTGTATTAATTAAGTGATCAATATGTAGGAGAGAGGTTAGTTTGTTTCTTTTTCATGTCTTGCTCATTTACTTTATGCTTTATGGTATGTAGGTCATGTGATCAATGTGATTATGGGGTATATAGTCACATGCTTAGCAGAATTGGTTGCGGGTGATTGAGAAGGCTTTATTTTTTGTTGACCGCAATTAAGTACCGCTAATGAATGTAATATTATGGTATTATTTTGATACTTTGTCACATGTCTGTTTTGTATGTGAAGAGCGTGAAGGAATGATGATAGCATTATTGTTTGCAAAGTGTTTTGGATACATGTTATACAGTACAACACTCCCTTACTCAGCCTCTCTGTGATTCTTTGCTGCTTTTGAAGTCACTACATAATCAATATGCTATAATCCCTTCAAAACACTGTTTAATGAACATAAAACACTTCCAAATGGGTAATAACTGGTAAACATACAGAAATTGTGACATGTACATTGGCAGTTAAAGTGCCACGGATTAATGATGTTGGTTTGTATAATATAGTGCCTTTAAAAAGTGTTCATCCTCCTTGGACTTGGACAAATTGCTCTGCGCAGCTCTTAGGGTGGATGATGACACTGTCTATGCAGGCTGCCATGCATAAGCGACTTGAGGCTTTTCTCCCAGGGGGTGAAAAGTGAGAGAGCCCTATGAGGTGTGAAAGGTGTGAGGAACTCAGCCTGTGGCTGAGCCGGTAGAAAGATAGAGGCATGAACGGTTAGCAAATGTGGCTGTTGACAGATCTAGACATCACGGCGGCAGGAATGAGGCGAGGCAGGTGGAACAAACGGAGGTAGAAACATTGTATGGATGAAAAGGATGCTCTTTTATTAATGTCTTTAAAAAGACAGGCCTTCATGTCTCTGTTTTTCTACAGGCTCAGTCACGGATTGAGCCACTCGCACCTTTCACACGTCACAGTCAGCTCATAGCCTCATACATAACGTGATTTTCGTGTACATAGATATGGTCAAGTGTAATTGATAAATTACGCACAGTAAGACTATACCAACATTAAATATAGTAATACAATACATCATACCTTATTATACAATACTGAACTCTCTTGAATGAACAGGATTCTGACATTTCAGCCTAATTCTCAAGAGATGATATAGCAAGAGGACGATGTATCAATTATGGAAACTGAAAACGGTCATGCTTGCAATTTATGCCACTCTCCTAAGATAACAAATCTCATTATTTTGAGACAAGAAGATATTTTTTCTTTGAATAAGCACAACAATAAACTTTTTGTATTAGGCAGTTTTTCATGAACAAAATGTATATATGTATTTATTTATATATTTTGTGATTATTTGCTTATATCATGTTTAGTCCTCCATACTGTATCCTCATTACTGTTTGTAATATAATTTTTCCACTTGTTATTTTGTAACTGTATTTTGCTATTAAGAAATTTAGTTGACGAAAAACGGAACTTCACCGAGAAGCAGGTGATGAGGAGGAAGTTTTGCTGGACCTAATAGAAAAAAAATAGGAATTGTGTGACAGCTTTACCAGAGGCCTGGCAAAGAAAGAGAACGACCTAGCATGGAGACAGGTGACACATACTAATGCGTCGATTTGCGTTTGCACATCAATTCCGGCTTATCTTGATAGTTATAGGGGCGAGGCAAGACATTAAGGACCATACTGTAATAAATCTACAGCACTCTAGAGCAAATACTGTAAATATGAAATCACAGCACTTTATAATAAAAGGAGATTGCGCTTAAATTTCATGAAAAAGGCACAAAATGCACTAAGAGATTAAAAGGTGTTCACGGTAACAAACAATGAGCGCAGGGAAAGAAGACAGCACTTGAAGTTGTGGTGAAATATTTCATTGTACGGTACAGATTCTTTTTCTATAATAAAATAGCACCATACAGGTGCAATACATGAACACATTTTATGAAATGGTATGAACTGGATACACGGTATCACTCTCAGCGAGATCTATACTGTGCTGGGTCAAATTTCATTCCAATAGATAGAAAGACACATGTAGTATGAAATTTTGACGATTTATTTCTATTTAATAATATTTAACTGAATTCACAGATAGTCACCATCAACAAAGCTGTGGCATGACATGTGTCTTACAAATGCACCCATTGATCTAATGCAAAATGATATCGGTTATATCAATCCAGCATCAGGCCTTAAGTATTTAGGTGGTTGCAGACTTTTGATTCACTCTGTATTTGAAAAGTAATGCAATTTCTTGAGTATACAGACAATTAACAGGAACATTGAATGGTCAAAACCAATGCAATACTGTACATTCATAATCAAAACCTCATAAATTTTTTTTATCTCAAACTACGAAATGTAAACATGTTATTCAGTTTTCACAGGCTTATGCTTGTTGTAAAATATACACGGAAAATATCAGAAGGCTTAAGCCAGGGGTGGCCAATCTTATCCGCAAAGGGCCGCTGTGTATGCGGGTTTTCACTGCAACTCCCTAATTAGATTACTAATTAGAGGACTGATTGGCTGAAGAGTCCTCACCCTTGGGTTGGAACAGCTGACCAACAGGTATTCCCAAAAACCTGCATACACACCGACCCTTTGCGGATAAGATTGGCCACTCCTGGCTTAAGCACTGGTGTGCCTATTGAAAATGCACCAGAAGATTGATCAAAACATTAACAAAGCATACGCTGCATATATTAGCTTTTCCGGAGCAGTGGATGTTTGGATGCCAATATACATTAAGATATTTTAACGCCTTGCACAATTACATTTTGTAAGTTTCACAATAACAAAAAAGGTCAGCTAACTAAACAAAAAGGTTATACATTCATTCTCTTAACATCTCCACAATGTCAAAAGCAATACTTTTCCAATTAATAAAGTCTCACCTCAAATTCAGTGTTTTTATATTGACATTTTCCACACTGCAATGGTCCTTTGGTGAAGCTACTATAGTACTTATGTTTTATTACTGTGTGCCCTGCGGATACTCAAGCCTAAAGGTTAATACAGCACCGTTTTCATTATCACCACATGATTACGGATTTTACTGCACTTAGCTGATAATACAACCACAGGTCACCTTAAAAGAATTGTCTTGAAGGTTCCATCCTATCCAAATGAAATTTAACAAACAAGTGACAATTAGGCAGCACTTCTTGTTCTCTGACACTTTTCATATTGAACTTAGACCAATTTTCCTCCACTAAATGAATTTGAATAATTTACATTTAAATGTCTTGAGGATATTAGCAGGGAGTGTGTTGAATGGCAGCTTGCTTTTTGAAGTTTTTTGATGATTTGATGGTGCCCCCTTCTACCTGTATATTTTAAGCATACTTCAAAGTTAAGAAATGGAAAAGCCTACATACCTCAGAGCACAATAATAATTTAAGAAGTGTTTTTTTAAACAATTCCATAAGGCAAAATGAAAATAATTTGAATATGTTTGCAAGACATTTAGCTTCAGAACATTTAATTTTGATAGCGGTATTTCTTTTGTTTGTTGATGTTTATGTGTTTTAAATGATTTTGTGTCTTTAAAAATATATAACTAATAAAACTGTTAGTACCATTTAGTTGTAATACTGATCAGAAATGAAGTGATTGTGAACTCATACATCAAAAGCACCATTTTATCATTTGTACTGCATATAATTTTTATTTATGTAGATCTCCGTAGTGTTTATTTACTTAGTGTTATGATAGAGAGGGGAGTAAGAGCAGGGAATAGCGTAGTTGAACACAGAGGCCTTAGTTCAATTGAACCGGGGCGGGGGGACGACAGTATGGTATATTGCAGTTGGAGGAGGGCCATCACGTTGCAGAGTATTGCATAAGCCAGGAGTACCCAATCTTATCCAAAAAGGGTCGTTGTGTGTGGGTTCTTTTGCTACAACTCCCTAATTAGATTACTAATTAGAGGACTGATTGGCTGAAGAGTCCTCATATCTGGGTTTGAACAGCTGATCTAAAGGTTATCCCAGAAACTTGCATATACAATGGCCCTTTGTCGATGAGATTGGCCACCCCAGGCTTAAGCTATAATAGTAATAAGAGCCTGGAAGAGGCATCTTGCTTTATATCTTAGATGACAATTGGCATCGCTATTGCATCTCTCAATCACAGATACTTTGGAAAGTGAAAATGCAATGTACTGGGAAGAGGAACACAGGAACCCACAGGAGACATCCATCCAACGACGTAAGCTAAGAGATAGCTGTAGACTAGCAGCTGACATAAGAGGTGGCAAGGTAACAGCTCATTTCAGTCCAAACCGGATTTCAGGGACTCTAGCTGCCACCCATAGAAGGGGACCAACTGTGCCATATGCTTTACAACCAGTAACGCTGATTAATTTCACACAGTCAATCCCTAAATAGCCAACAACAACTTCCCAGCACCATACTCATTATAATCACCATAGCCAGAAAAACAGGGAATTTGTTTTAGGAGTAACACTAATGGAAGCAATATACAAGTAACTGGTGGAAATTCTCATGAATTTGCAGAAAACAGAAAAGCTATTATTTAAATAGCATAAATTTATTATGGGTAAATTTAATTCTTCTCACAGTATTTAAGGAAATGTTAAAAAAGAAAGAAGAACTTACTCAATAGTTTGCCGAAATAAGTATAATTTCCACTCCAAATGAGCCTTTGATAAGTTTGAAATGAGCAATTGCATCAATGGTTAGAATATCTGTTGTTATCACAAGTCAAGATCCAGGGGAAAGTGGATTTCAAAAATAATACTATTTTCCTCAGCTTAAAACTTTGGTCTGTGAGACCACACTATAAGCCAATTGGTATAAAAATATCCTGAACTAGTATTAGGCAATGTTGTCATTTGACAGTTCATTCAGCTCTGAGATTTATATACTGTACAGTACTGTGATTTAAGGGGTATCCATTACAAAAGGTAAGAGTCCAACAGCTGAAAGCCTTACCACCATCAGATCTTATTCATTTGAGAAATTAGCACAAGATCAGGAGTACAATCTAGATAGTACACAAACAACTCAGTCAGATAAGCAAGGGCATGGTTTATAAATCAGAGGAAGAAGTGTGGTCTTCACAGGAAACCAGTGATGAGGCATCAGATGCATCAGATTTTCTTCTTCAAGTTACATGTCCTTGTAGAAGCAATTTAAATTTACTGTAGGGCAGAAGGTGCACAGTTTGTACTCTCTGAAAGTAAAGCATGTATTCAGTTCAGACAAATGCATGTATTCATTTTGAAAAGTATGAAATTGACTTAGTTTTGCAATATTGCTGAGCTGCAGGCAATGCATATTGGATAAAAAATTAACATGAGTGTTAAAGGACAAGTCTGTGTCAAATTATCACTATGCTATGTGTTTGTCATGACTTCCCTTCTGGTTTAGAAGCCACTCAGAGTTATCGCTTTTGCTTTGTTTCTTGTCTTTGCTGCATGCGATGGTTCCTGACCGACTAAGTACGCTGCCTGGAGGAAGGACCTATATGCAGACCTGAAGTTACAGTTCTATGCCTTTTCTTGAAAAGATTGGTTTTGAACCAGGATCCCGTTCTCTGATGCAATCAAGTGTTTGGGCTAAACACTGGATAGTTTCTTTTAATGGTTCTGTGTTAAGGCCTTTGACCCATTTATGCTTAAGCTATCTTAAGTTGTCTTCTTGTGTTCTACTTTCAAAGGTATGTTCTATCTTCTTGTAGCCTACTGTTTTCTCGTGTGTTTGTCAATGACTAACATCAAGAAAATCTACGCTTTTTTTTTTTTTTATTTCAGGTTATGTAACTTCCTCCTGAGGTTTTGTTTCAGCTCAAAGACGAAGCAACAGACATAACTTCACTGTCCTGTGTGAAAGTGCTTCTATCTTTGAAACAGGCCAGTGTGATTTACTGCAACCAGGGGCATTGTGCGAAGCAAATTTGTGGGTAGGCACCATTTGAAAACCACACATATATATGACACATAAAATACACATACACTGAGATGTAAGGCATGAATGTCATGATGTGACTACTCATTGATGATGGGTAGATTTATTGATAGTAGATGAGGGTGAGATGCGATCTGATGGCAGAAGCACGCTCATTTGCCAGATTACCCAGACTGCAATTTTACTGCCAGTTTAATAACGTGTTATTCACGAACAATATAGACATGTTATTGGTTGACTGAATAATTAATTTAAATTACATTTTTACAAAAGATTGGGTAGGCACATGCCTAAATTGATTGGCGCAATGCCATTGACTGCAACATAAAATTCCTACCTTGGAACAATTTGAGTAGGACTTAATTGTTACATTTTAATCCCAAAAACTGAGAGTCTTTGACTATATATTCATTTTAAAAAGTGTAATTTTCAAAACTATATTTACTTAAAAAAGGGGGTGGTACACACACACACACACACACACACACACACAGACCTGTACTCGTATCTTTGTGGGGACAGTCCATTTATTTCTATGGGCAAAACCCTAATCCCAACAATGACAACCTCAACCCCTACCCACCCCTAACCTTAACCATAAGTAACCAAACAAAATACAAATATTGGCATGTTTAGTTTTTTGATTGCAGTCACAGATTTTTATAAAAATGATCCTGACAACAGCAAAATAACACGTTTTTATCACATTGTGGGGAAATTTGGTCCCCAAAATGTAAGGTATACCTGAACCACACACACACACACACACACACACACACAGACACACACACACACACTATTTCTTTTTGTTTGGACAACAAAGCATCCACAACTAATGAACTATCTGAGATCTATCCATCTATCTTTCCGTATGGAGAGAAGGAGGTGAGTGTATTATTGTAAGCTAATCAAAGCACGCATGCTGCCAAGAACAATATTGTGCACAACAAACGCAGAAAATATCAACAGAGGTAGACAAATGCAGTGCAGGCATTTTTTTTGATGGAGACCTTAACACATGTATTGAATGCAGATTTCAGTAACAGAGGCACAATTATAAAGCAAATCAAAATGTGGCAAATATCTGATTCAACCATAATGAAGCAGGTAGAAGACACTGGTGAATTTATAACCCAGTTAATTGCAGATTTATCGTTTTCGAAAACAGGATTTGTTTAGGGAAGGATTGTTATGCTTATTGCTGCTATTAGGCCAAACTGAAAGTGTGGTTTTGATTTTTTTTCCAATGAGAGCAATCTCAAAAAACAAACTTCAAAATCTGTTGCATCTGGTCATACCTTAATAAAATTGGATATGCAGAAAACTGACTTTGGCATCTTGCTTATTCACAAAAATGCAAGATGGTTATCTTTCCATATAGCACTTCAGTGTTTTCTGAGAAAGACAAGCTGGAACTGATAAACTTAGATTGGATTATAAAATTGGGCCTATTAAATGTCATAAAATTTAAATACAGTGGAGAAAAATACTAAAAATGCTTTGTATGGTACAGTAATAATAATAATATTAATAATAATAATCACAAAACCAGAACAGCAACTTCACTTCCGAAAACTGTGGGCTTATACCATAAATTATTTAGGACTATTGCATAACTTTGCATTTGCTATGACACATTTCTTGTAGTTATGTTGTTATTGTTTTATTTTGTGTGCTAGAAAGTTGTTAACCATTTTCTCTTCTGTCCTGCGAAGCGTAGGCATGGTAACCACCTAAATTCATACCTATGCATGAAAGTGTCTAGGCCAGCGACCCGACTCATAGAAGTATCACATGGAAATACGATTGGTTATAATGGCAGTACTTTCAAAATTGTATTTAATGCATTTTAATTTCCTTCAAACAGATGAAAGGCTCATTTGTAGTAAGATGTTATGTTGTGGCTCAACAAAATAGGAAAGTCATTTGGTGAAACATCTGCATAATGAAGCTCTAGAGTCCTTGGATGATTATGGTAACTGCCATACCTGTGATTGTAGGTTTCAGCTGTACTCAAATGTTAAATGATGGAATGATGATGTGGTTTCTGGTCAGCAGAGAGGAGAGTTTGTTGCCATTGCTGAGATAACATCTGTGATAGATATCACTTGTGTTTTTAGTTTATAAAGGTATGGTTCTGAATATACATCTGAAGTGTTTAGTGATAAATAATGTAAAATTAGTGTCATGGATTATATTCAAGCAAATGAAATCAATCATCAGCCCTTGTCTATAATGACTAAAAATGCCAGCATTTACTACTCTGCAGTCTATTACTAGGTGTATCGTTAATGTTGGCTCTGAGCCCAATGACAATTAGTTTTTCTGGGCCAGTTGATGTATTTGAGCTGGTATCTGTTGACCAGCTTTTAACTAGCATTAGACTACCGTGTCTTGTATGCCTCTGCAAAGAGGAAACACATTAAAGTGTTATTCGTCGCTTATAGAAATAAGAGTTCAATGTGCAGTGAAATGCACGGTTGCCTATCTGCAAACTATGCAAGAAAAGGGGGATATACGTGTGAAAGATGAGACAGAGACAAAATGTCACTTATTACAGACATTAAACATGATAATCAAAATATCTTTGGCCTGCAAAATCGGCATTAAGTTAGCTGAGGTACTGTAAAAGTCCAGAAACAGATAAATATTTACTTATCTACATGTGTGAGTTACGTAGGCTATAGGAGGTCCTAAACTATAAGTATCCATATTGGCCGTGTAAAGAAGCTCTTCATCGGCCTTTCTGTGCTGGCCTTCAGGCAGCAGTAGCTTTTGCCTGACCTCAGCACTGAGAAAAGGTCATGGCTGGGGTAACTGTGCTGTTCCCGAACCAGGCGGTGATGCTCCCTGATAGGATGCTTTCGACGGTGGCTGTGTAGAGATTCTTTAGTATTGGGAGGAGAAGCCTGAAGTCTTTTAGATGTCTAATGAGGTATAGTTGCTGGTGAACCATCCATTCCCCATGAAGGTGTCCTGTGTTGTCCTTCCAGTTGATAAAAACATTGTGACTTAAAAACTTAGTGACAATTGTTTTGGTTTCTAATAAACACTGAGGTAGATGAGAGCAATCTGTACCGGACATTGCCTGACAAAGGGAGACTTACTAATAGACCCTTTCCAAAGTACACGGGATACATACTCTGCGCATGGCTGAGCCAATGTTCCTGTGAAAGTGACTGTGGCTGCAGAAGAGAATAATTAATTCCATTTTTAAGTAATAGTAATTTTTTGGTAATTGTTACCGCAACAGTGTGCTGGATCAGTGGTTGAATGATGGATAGATGGGTAAAAATGGTTGTACAAGGTAATATGCCCCCTGTTGTAATCTCAGCCGCTGACATGGAGTTAACCCACATAGCAAATCTTTTACTACCCAAATCTGACCCATATCCACTGTGCAGTAAAGACCCATATACCTGCCTCATATGACAGTACAGAAGTAGCTTATTCAGGAGCAAAAAAGAACCACAGCTAGATCATCACTAATAAAACATTACAAACATTGGGGTAATTGTGCCTCAGCCCATCAAAGCAGATCATTAGCTACTTGCTAACTGAAACTGTTACGAGGTAGGAACCACAAGTAGTAACTTGCAAGACTATGTGGCCAAATCTGTCCCATTTATTTTTGATAGTTTTCTAACTACAAAAAGCTAAAACTAAAATATGCTATACATAAGCAAATAACATGATCCAGATGACTAAAATAAACAAGCTGCTGAATGGACTAACAGGCTCCACCCCTTGGTTTTCAAGTGCACTTCCCTATCACTTTCAGATCTAGGTTGCTGCTTGCCTTCTGTCACCTTTCACATCTGCAGAAATTCGGGCTGTGCAACTCGCAAATCTTGGGAGCCAGAATGTTTCGTCACTGCGCCAATTCACTATAAAAGTGTGTGCAGGCAATAAGAGCATCAAAGTACATCTACACATATCTGACCTCAGAAAATATGCATAATGTAATTGACTATCTCACCATCATTTAATCCATAGCAGTGTTAAAACAACATTACTGCAGCATCCATTGATCCAACTATCCATCTTCCAAGTGTTTATTCTAATCTAGTTTGACATGTTAGTTCAACGATGCTGGCCAGTACCTCCGTTGCTCATACTTAGAAGGAGATCCCTTTAAAAGCCTAAAGAATTGCATATCCTATAAAATACTGAACTTGTCTTACTCTGATGGGGATTAGTCACTCTGTAATCACCTTGACCTTGGCAATATCTATGGATATTCTTGCAGAGTAGATGTAATAAACGAAGAATGAGGCCTGAGACATATGAAACTTTGCCGTCCCTGAGTTCACATAGAGGTTGTTCTGTAGCCTGTATTCACGTACCAGTCCCACATGTTGAATGAGCTCTGTCTTAGAAAAAAATAGGATATAATCAGGGCAGACAAAAACAAAGTTTTCAGGCATATCTCTCAGCATGTCATTAACCAGTGTTTTGGAAGATTGATGGACTATTGGACAGACCAAACAGCAACACAGGGTATTCGTAATGTCCACTAAGGGGGTTAAAGACCATCTTCCACTTATCTACCTGTCAGATGTTAACAAGATTATAAGAATTGTATACATCAAGCTTTGAAAGACTTGCCTCACTCAGTCTTTCTAAGGTTGTAGATATCAAAAGTAAAGGATATTTGTTTTGATTGTAATCTTAGCTGGCTGTCTTTTACTCCAGCTCCAGCTGGTGAGGTGGAATGTACTCTTCTCCCTAATCTCAAACAATGAA